GGAGGTTCACCAAATGGATGTCTCCGATGCCTTTCTCCATGGAAATTTAAAAGAAGAGGTTTACATGAAACTTCCACAAGGCTTCCAAGGTTCTGATCCTACTAAGGTTGCTCGCCTACGGAAATCAATCTACGGTCTTAAACAATCTCCCCGGTGCTGGTTTTCTAAACTGAGTGACGCCCTGATCAAGTACGGCTTCATTCAAAGCAAACCCGACTACTCAGACTTCTCCTATGTTCGTGGCACAATCAGTCTTCACATCTTAGTTTACGTGGACGATTTCATTGTTGCCTGCAGTGATCTTTCTACACTTCAGAAATTCAAGAACTATCTTAGTCAATGAATCAAGATGAAAGACCTCGGCAAGCTCAAATATTTCCTTGGCATTGAGGTTGCTCGGAACAAAGATGGCATCATTATCTCCCAACGTAAATATGCTCTTGACATCATCACGGAATCTGGTCTTCTTGGTTGTAAGCCATCTGCAGTCCCGATTGAGCTCAACCACAAGCTTGCTCTTTCGGAGAGTCAGCTACTTGTAGACCCTGCTCCATACAGACGACTTGTGGGACGTTTAATCTATCTAACGTTCACTCGTCCTGAACTTTGTTATGCAGTCCATATACTTTCCCAGTTCATGAAAGCTCCGAGGAAAGATCATTGGGACGTAGCTACCAGGGTTATAAGATACATTAAAGGCTGTCCTACTCAAGGAGTTCTTTTAAAATCAGATTCTTCCCTGAAAGTAACAGCCTTTTGTGATGCAGACTGGAGCGGGTGTCCTCTAACACGTCGTTCTTTGAGCTCTTATATTGTCTTGTTGGGGTCATCTCCGGTGTCTTGGAAGACTAAGAAACAAAACACGGTCTCTGCCTCGTCTGCAGAAGCTGAATATCATTATATGGCCTACACACTACGAGAGCTGAAATGGTTGAAGCGGATCCTTACCTCATTTGGCATCCAGCATAGAGAACCTATGAAGCTATTCTGTGACAGTCAGTCCGCTATATACATTGCCAAGAATCCTGTCTTCCATGAACGTACGAAGCATATAGAAAACGATTGTCATCAGGTTCGCGATGCTGTACAAGAGAATGTTATTAAGCTAGAGCATATCTCAACAAGGGAGCAACCGGCTGATCTACTTACCAAGTCTCTGCCATCCACTACATTTGCTTATCTCCTTTCCAAGTTGGGGATTCAAGATGTTTCATCGCCAACTTGAGGGGGGTATAGAGATAAGGACCAAGTTAGAGATAATTACTACTTGCATGTTGTGTTTATCCTTATTCACATAGTATTAGGAGAGATACGTTGTATATATATACTCGGCTATTAGCCTTAATACAATCAACACTTTCACATTATTTTAATTACTCATACAATGATTATCTGATCTACATAAGAAAGATGATGATTCAGTTCCTAGCCTCTTTTACAAAAGGTTTTCACCTTGGAATAGGTATAATACTGAACTTTGAACAATGAAATAATTCATTAAATCTACTAAATCGAGTAGTTTTCTTTCTTAATATACCTGAAAAGGTAAAGAAGACTTTTTTAAAATATAAGAAATGAGAAACTTAATCATCATGAGGAGTGAACACATGTGGATCTGCTTCTCATGAACATCTTCCAATCCGACAAGTTATTGTCCAACACCCGATTTCTCACATGTGGATAACCCCATAACTCGTAATCCGATGGATTAAAAACTGTTGACTCCTTATTAAACCGGTTTTGGTTAGGTATAGCGAAAACCGGGGTTTCTTCGGTTAGGTTCCCCATGAACCTTGCACTGTTGGTCTTTAGACATCTCTCTATCACCTTGTTCTCTTCTCTGAACTTATCCCTAATGGCCTTGAGGGTTTGATAGAACCGGTTCGGTTTAGTATCTGTGCGGTTCTCTTTGGTTTTGTGTGAGAATCGGCTACATTTCAGACATATGTTCTTTCTCATGTCTGTGTCGAAGCTTCTTCTTTTTGTTTCGTCTGTAAGACATAAATAAGCCTACATGCGTCCAAGACAACAACATAAGTGAACTCTAGAGTTGGATATTGAACCGGAAATAACCGGTTTCTGAACTTAATTGAACCAGTCAAACCGGATTATAGGACCAACCATGAATGAGTTCATTGATAACATGGATGCTATTATTAAGGGTACGATTCATGTCCACACATGCATTTTATAGCTTATAAAATAACAATGTCTAAAAGCTTATAATAATAATAAATATTATTGTCTATCCTAAGAAAATAAATATATTCATGTTGAAATTGCTGGGAGTTGTTTATATAAATAAACAAGATAAAAATGCCTGACCTCGTGGATGAGCTTAAAAGCAATATCTGCTTTTGGGTGATTGTTTTTATCGGGATGAACCTTCATAGCTGAAACAAAAATAACAATGTTATCAGAGATAGACCATAACAAATATTTAGAATCTAACGTTGATGACTAAATAAATTCAAACCTAATTTGTGATATCGTTTACGAATGAGCTTGACGTCTGCATCTTCCTGGATCTGTGTAATCATATAATCATATATAACCAATAAGTTCTCTGCCTTTTGATTTTTTTTTTTGTTAATTATAAAAAGTGGTAACAAAATAGATAAACTGAAACATGAGAGAAACATACACCGAGAATGAGATACCAGTCGATGAAACATGAGCCGGAGTTGCCATTAATGTGAATGCAAGAGATTGGTGAACTTGACATGGAACAAATCTCTGAGACCAATGCCGCTTTTGGATCCTGTCCCGGTCGGATCTTACCCATTCAAGAAATATGGGGGGTGAATAAAAATAGTCTCTGTGAAAAAAGGAAGGAGTGAGCAGCGAGAGAGAGAGAAGGAAAAGACGTTAAGAGAATGCAGGCAGACTTTGCGGGAGTGACATTTTAAACTGGAATAGAGAGAAATAAATTAATCCAAATCATTAATTATCGAAAATTTAAAACGTTTTATCAAAGATCACTGAGAAATTCAAATAGAGGAACGGGTAAAAGTAACCGTAGCCCGTAGGCCCAGCACGTTGTAACTGGCTCGTGCCATACAAACTTTCAGATGCTCATTCATGTTGCATGTGAATCATATACTGTAGGCAGTAGATTGAATTTATAAGATACATATAATCATGATCGACTTTATAATACAATGGTAGTCTATAAATAATCTACAACGTTTAATAGCTGTTTCGGTAGAAAATTCAATAGGGGAACATGAGACTTGTGACACATAAAACAGAGATGAACAGCCATATACTAAAGGATGCCTTTATTTGAAATCAAATTAAATAGGTGAAAACAAACAAAGAAATGAAGAGACTACCTAACTTCTGTTTTCTTTTTACCGAATACATGAAATTTCAAAGCTACAATGATTTTATATTTGTTTTCTTAGCACAAGATTTGATGGGTTGAATCAGAAACCTGGGAAAGTAATACGCGTATGTGTATGTCTACACATAAAAAAATGTAAACTGAAATTATATTATACTAAAATAAAAATATCTTGGCTTTGCTTTGGAATTTGGATTTAGATTGGATTTCTTGATTTCTTTTCTGGTTTTAGATGTTTAAATTATAACTTGAGACAGCGCCAATAGTATATGATTATGGCTTTAGACAAAAGTATGTACCTAATGTTACACATGCACGTTGATTTATAAGCCCAAAATGAAAATAAAAACACTTTTGTATCATAGAAATTGATAGTTAGGGGTTTTACGTGCGGTTGACTTATTGTAATGAAGCCAAACAAACTTCAGTACTCTAGAATTTGGAATCTAACTGATCACTGCTCAAGATCAGTATTAAGTCAAACATAGCGGTTGTAATTGGCCACCCTAAAGTAAACATCACATAGGGATGCTAACTTCTTGATTACCAATAAGTTTTCTGCCAATTAGTCCTAATTTTGTAAATAAATTATGTACTTAGTTTTTAATATATAACCATAACTTCTCATAACGGTTACAAGGCATATAACTAGTTTGAGGTCATACAATTTGAAAACAAGAGCTTTAGAAGGAAAAACATATGCTAAATTTATAGATCAGCATGAAAAAGCATGAAAAGGTGTTACCCTTTTGATTAAAATACTACACTATATACATAGTAGCGTTCATGTGAGATAATTTATGTACACTCATCCGAAGCCAAAATGTTGGGTCATGTACTACAAAAAAAATTGGATGTGTCAATGAGCACGTAAGAGCACCTTTAACCCATATTGCTTAGAGAGTGAGGGGTGCTTATTTTGAAGAGAGAGTGTAAAAAGTGTTTAATTAATCAATTTTCACACTCTCTCTCTTCAAAATAAGCACTCATTTCCTCCTAAACAACTCTCTAAGCATCAAAGATTAAACATACTCTAAGAACTCTTCTAGTGAAACGAAACTGTCGATGATCGCTCAGCATACGGATTTGTTTATGAACAGTAAGTACAATATCTTCCATTATGATATACACATCGCTACAATTTTGTGTTTTTGTGTTTTAGAGAAGGCATAACAACGGCTCTAGGAGAACATTAAAATATAATGTGAAATATCATCCAAAATGGTCAATGAAGCCACGTTGTACTTTGATTTTAGGCCATATTCGTTTTTGAGGTCTCTAAAATACGTACAACAACATGCGAAGTTGAACCTGACATTATATCCCGTGTGCTGACAAAAGCGTTTCTTAGGTTGCAGTCATGTGTTTTTCTTTTAATTCCAGCTTCAGTTCCATCAGATCATTTCTCTTTTGTATAAAATAAAAATAAAAATAAAAATAAAAATAGTAAACCATTCACCGGAGAGAAATATAAAAGCTCTGGCAATCACGTGCTGTGATAATTTTGTGATAATGTGAGTGTAGACGGATTCAAATTCAGGTCCTGTAAGATTCATGGAACGCTATGTTACCAACCACATACACGTGGTTATCTCTCTTTTGTATATATATGTATAGACATTGTAAAGACAGTATATGTATTTCATTTGGTTTAGTCCTTTTATAAATTAGCATGAATGTGATAATTGATAATTCTCTGACACTATGAGAGTTTTAAGGTGGACATGTAACAACAACTCATAAGCTGAGTAGAATCCATTACAGAAGCATAACTTGTTCATGTAAATAACTAGGCTTTACTAAGCACAGCGCTTAGTCTAACTCTCGGGAGCTTGATTTTGGTTCCAGTTCTGTTGCGATGGATCTCTTCTCTCCACCTGCATAGTCTCACGGCGCCTATCGTACCTAGGCCTAGACCGATTTCTTCCCTGCCGCTGTTCAGTGAACCTATACTGTGGTCTTGGTATCACCTTTCCTTCAATGTACAAGTCACCTGCGTAACAAAATTGGTTTTAGATAATAAGTCTTATATCTCAAGGAATCTTTGTTGAAATCCAAAAAAACAATACAAACCTCCATAGTCTTTGTTGGGTACATCAAGATAAGAATCTGGTAGGACCCACAGAACACCAGGCAATCCTGAAGAATATCACACAGCTCTGAATTAGGTATCTTTACATACAAAAACAAAGGTCAATATGTTCCAAAGCTAAGACACTGATATGTTCTTTGTCCTATTTCCGACAGACAATAATAATTCAGACAGAACAGAAGTTTCCTACTTGACGCAATTTAAACGATAAAGTTAATAATACCTTTGACTTTGCAAGAGAGCTCTTCAGAGATCAAAGCACCAAAGCCAGTGTAAGTCGAAGTAGAAACAGAGTAAATCTTCTTCTTTGCCTCTTCCTCGCTACAAAACACAAACCAAATCACATCACTACACAAACGAAATGAGCAAAACGACCAAAAAAAAAATGAAATGAGAACTTACCTGCCGACAACGGAAGTTAAGGTTTTGACATAAGCATTGATCATCTCATCTTCTGTAGGTTTGGGATCAGTGAACTCCATTACAATGAGCCAATGCTCGTAATCGCACCCATCAAGAAGAATCGTCTCCTTCGGTGGACGGTTGCTCCAATTCGGCGAAGGATCGTTCAACGGAGAGTATCCCGACCCGGATGTCTTGGGTCGGGTGGGTATGTAACAAGGGCCAAGTCCGGTTCTGAACGAGGAAACTTTTTCAAGCAAAGGTACGGTGAAGCGAGAACGAGAAGGGAGCGTAGAAAACGACGACGAAGAAGAGAGGGTTTTGGTTAGGACTGTCGCTAATTTGCGCCGCGCGGTGAAAATAGACATCGCCGGTGAGGGTTTTGGCTTCTGCTCTCTCTCTCTCTTCACTTCAGTCTTTTTTTCAGACGCTTCGAGAAACTGTATGGGCTTTAATTGGGCCTTAATTTATGTACTCTTCAGAATTTCATTTTTTATAATACATGTACTTTTTCACATAATTTAATAAATCTTTTAATGCTTTGATTTGCAAAATTTGGTGAATGAAATATAAAGTTGCAAAAAAAACTATTCCAAAATTTTTAATTTTCGGAAAACTATATCTTAGCGGAAAAATTAATAACATTATCAAAATGTAATAAATAATAAGGTATGGGACTTTCCATATATAGTATTGTCTTCTTTTATTGTACTTAGCCATGATCTTCTCATCTGTTTCATACTTGTTAATGATAATGCACTGTGAGATTCCTCTAATGCCTCGTCCCAGCTGTTTACTCTCTCATCTCTTAATCAATTCCTCATTCATCAGCATTAAAACCACCAGGATCAAATTTAACTTATATATTTTCATTTTATCCTACACATTCATGCCTCGGCGACCATACTATTCATAGGTTTATCATAAAAGCTGGGAAACCGAACGTTTTAGATGGAAAGAATACACAAACTTGTGGACACAAAGCTAATATTCCCAAAGACAGAAAATGTAACATAGCCTCATATTCTTTCCTTAAACCCTAAAAATAGCAATGCAGCTCATCTCTATATTATAACTCCATCAAGATCTTTCTAAGCCATTTGTTCAAACCTTTGTAAATTTTAAACACCAAAACCCCTTAAAAAAAAAAAGCTAGAAGGGGCCTTATAGCCGCAGTTGCAGGCCCCGTCTGCTCCATTTCTAACATGTAATAAAACACATTAGAAAAGCTAGAAGAAAAAGTTACTTTTTTTTGGCCTTTTGAGTTTTGTGTATAAAGAAAACCACAAAGAAATGGCTTTAGATGATGACAAGAAAAAGAAATGCGTCATTGCCGGTAGTGTCTCTGGTTTGCTATTCATCATGGTTGTCTCTGTAGCTGTCCTAACATCTAAAAACTCACCCAATGAAAATCAAATCAGACAAAACACCAAAGCGGTTAAAGCAATTTGTGCACCTACTGACTACAAAGAGAAATGCCTGAAAAGCTTAATGGACGCATCTCCCAACTCCACTGAGCCTCTAGAACTCATCAAGCTTGCCTTCAACGTCACTATCAAGTCCATCAACTACGGCCTCGAGAAAGCCTCTAAAGATGTTAAAGCCAAGGCTGATGAAGACCCTGAAACACAATTTGCTTTCGAGCTCTGTGAGAAGCTAATGCTTGACGCTATTGATGATCTGACAAAATGTGTTAACCGTGGGTTCTCAGCTACTCAGATTGTAGGCTTTATTGAAGATCTTAGGGTTTGGCTAAGTGGCTCCATTGCGTTTCAGCAAACTTGTATAGATTCTTTCAAGGAGGTTAAGTCTAATCTTATGACTGACATGCGCAACATCTTCGAACCATCAAGACAGCTTACCAGCAATAGCCTTGCCATGGTTACTGAACTTCCCACCATTCTCCCAAACTCCAACATCACAGGTATCTACCAAATACATCTCATAGCTAAGTGAAACATTAGTCTTGAGCTCCCAACTTTTTTTTGAATTAATGTATATAAACATAGGCCTTCAAATTGTTAAAAAAAATTGTTTACTAAAGTCTTTTTGATTAATTTTTCTTTTTTAAAAAAAAAAAAACTCCATAAAATTTCAAGCAATCTGTAATGCAAGTGTTGATGATAACAGGACTAACAAAAGCTCTTTCGAATTACGCCAGAAAGCTTTTGTATACAGAAGATGGTATCCCAACATGGGTTAGACCAGAGGCACGGCGGCTCATGGAGGAAGAAATACCACTAGATGAAGAGCCACCAGTGAAGGCTGATGCAGTGGTGGCTCAAGATGGAAGTGGACAGTACAAGACAATTGCCGAGGCTCTAAATTTTGTTCCTAAAGACAACAGCCCATTCGTCATCTACATCAAAGAAGGTATATACAAGGAGCAAGTAATGATCACAAAGAAAATGCCATACATCACTTTCCTCGGTGATGGACAAAACTTGACCATAATCAGCGGCAGCCTCAGCTTCGGTGTCGGAAGAATCAAGACGTTCCTGTCAGCCACCGTCAGTGAGTTTCAATCATCCATTTAGCCTTGGCCATTTTAATAAAAAAAAAAAAAGAACTGAACTGAAAAGCAACCAAACCAAATAGATACTAGACTAACTAAATATAATATACTCCCACTGTTTCATTATAAGTGTCACTCTACGGCTGTGCACACAGATTAATGAAACAATTAATTTTACATATTTTCTATATAAAAACACAGTTACCCATACACCTAATCATATTTTAACCAATAGAAAAATAAATTACATAATAAAACTAATAAATTTTGCAATGAAAACTGTAAACGACACTTATTTTGTAACACAAAAAAATTTATACTGTGACACTTAATATGAAACGGAGAGAGTATTTATCTAAAATTGTTAATGATATTTAAATTTTAAAAGAACCAAATATCTTAAAACATTATTTATAAATATATTACTGAAAAAATCAAATTATTCAAATGATTTTAAGCTAAAATATTTGTCATTAAGTGTTTACCCAAACATGCAAAACATAATCATCTACAAATATTTATTAGTACATGTATTATCAATTCATAAACTGTTATAGTTTCAACGATATTGTTTCGAGTTATGAAGACTATGATCTGCCAACATGAATTAATAGCATAAATTATCTAAATTACCCGATACTAATCTCCAGACAATCTGAATTACATGTTATTGATGAATAAGAAAAACCCAAAAATATTTAATTTTGTCCAAATCCTAGAATATTAGTCAGTTTCCAATTTTGTTATCCTAAAACTAAAATTACCTAACCAAAACCAAACATAACCCACAAATATTTGAACAGTTTTAAATCTTTAAAACCAAAAAAAAAAACGATACGAACCAAAATTACTACTTCCATAGTTTTTTTTAAAATGCCTAATTAACGTTATAAAACCTTTTCTAAATTATATGTGTGTTTTGCAGTAATCGAGGGCGAGCACTTCACAGCAAAAAGCATAGGGATCGAGAACACGGCAGGACCAGAGGGACGACAAGCAGTGGCAATGAGAGTCTCAGCGGACTACGCCGTATTCTACGAATGCAAATTCGACGGTTACCAAGACACATTATACGTCCACTCTCAACGTCAATTCTACCGCGACTGCACCATCACAGGAACCATAGATTTCGTCTTCGGCGACGCGAAATGCCTCCTCCAAAACTCCGTACTCGTCGTCAGAAAGCCCAAGAGAGGTCAGACGTGCGTCGTCACCGCTCAGGGACGCAGCGACAGACGTGAATCAACCGGACTAGTGCTACAAAACTGCCATATAACTGGTGATGCGGACTTCATGGCGTTGAAGCCTGCGAAGAAAGTGTATCTAGGAAGACCGTGGAAAAGATTCTCGAGGACGATCATGTTGATGTCGGCGCTCGATGATATCGTGCATCCGGACGGGTGGCTTAAGTGGAAGGGTGACTTTGCGCTCAAGACGCTGTACTACGCTGAGTATAGTAGTGCTGGGTTAGGAGCGAATGATAGCGTTAGAGTGAAATGGCCAGGTGTCAAGAATATAACGGCTGAAGAGGCTCAGTTATACACTGGGGGTAGGTTTTTAGGTGGTGATTCGTGGATCCCTCAGACACAAGTTCCGTACATTGCCAACTTGTAGGAGATTATTATTACAATTTGTGTACATGGTTTTTATTTTACAATGTGTTTTCTTCTAAATTTGTTGTAGAGTGTGATGTAGCTGAGCTGAATTGATTAGTGAAAATAGTATATGGTGTTTAATTTATCGATAGTTTAGTTTACAACTGTAAGTATTTGGAGATTTGAAGATATGTTGATCCGTTCTGTTTTATCCTGAATAACTTTTTATGCTTCATATTTGTTATTCCCATTTGCTATACCATTATTGGACAACAAATTCTTAGGATGCCCGAAATACTTTTTTTTACACAAATCTATATATAATAGCAAACTGAAAGTGATATCAGCAATTTTTTATAGAAAAAAAAAATTCAATACAATGGTCATAGTTAACTTAATTTTAAGATTTAATGGACCAAAAAAAACCTTTTCATATGATTGATGATGTCATCAAATATTTGACAACTCTTCATTGAAAATGCATATATTTCATTTTAATAGCCACAATCATATTTGTTATACATTTTCATAAGTTTAAATATTAATATTGACCTTTAAGAAGATAATATTTGTATGTGTCGTGACCGAAGAGGTATGAACGTATCGTGATTCAAGAGGTACGAACATGTCGTGACCCAAGAGGTACGAATGTGTCGTGACCCAAGAGGTACGAATGTGTCATGAACCAAGAGGTACAAATGTGTCATGAACCAAGAGGTACGAACGTGCCGTGACCCAAGAGGTGCGAATGTATCGAAACCGAAATGGTGCGAACGTGACGGGATCGAAAGGGTGCGAATGTATCGGGACCGAAAGAGTGCGAACGTGTCGGTACCGAAAGGGTGCGAACGTGTCGGTACCGAAAGGGTGCGAACGTGTCGGGACCGAAATGGTGCGAACGTGTCGGGACCGAAAGGGTGCGAACGTATCGGTTCTGAAAGGGTGCAAGCATGTTGGTACCGAAAGGTTGAGAACGTGTCAGGACCGAAAGGGTGCGAACGGTTCGGGACCGAAAGGGTGCGAACGGTTCGGGACCGAAAGGGTGCGAACGGTTCGGGACCGAAAGGGTGCGAACGGTTCGGGACCGAAAGGGTGCGAACNTGTCGGGACCGAAAGGGTGCGAACGTATCGGTTCTGAAAGGGTGCAAGCATGTTGGTACCGAAAGGTTGAGAACGTGTCAGGACCGAAAGGGTGCGAACGGTTCGGGACCGAAAGGGTGCGAACGGTTCGGGACCGAAAGGGTGCGAACGGTTCGGGACCGAAAGGGTGCGAACGGTTCGGGACCGAAAGGGTGCGAACCGTTCGGGACCGAAAGGGTGCGAACGGTTCGGGACCGAAAGGGTGCGAACGGTTCGGGACCGAAAGGGTGCGAACGGTTCGGGACCGAAAGGGTGCGAACGGTTCGGGACCGAAAGGGTGCGAACGGTTCGGGACCGAAAGGGTGCGAACGGTTCGGGACCGAAAGGGTGCGAACGGTTCGGGACCGAAAGGGTGTGAACGGTTCGGAACCGAAAAGGTGCGAACGGTTCGGCACCGAAAGGGTGCAAACGGTTCGGCTCCGAAAGGGTGCGAACGGTTCGGCACCGAAAGGGTGCGAATGGTTCGGCACCGAATGGGTGCGAACGGTTCGGCACCGAATGGGTGCGAACGGTTCGGCACCGAAAGGGTGCGAACGGTTCAGCACCGAAAGGGTGCGAATGGTTCGGCACCGAAAGGGTGCGAGTGGTTCGGGATCGAAAAGGTGTGAAGATAACGTCACCGAAAGGGCGCAAATGGAACGTCACCGAAAGGGTGCGAATGTAACATCACCAAAATGGTGAGAATGTAACGTCATCAAAAAGGTGTGAATATAACATCACCGAAAGGGTGCGAACATAATGTTACCAAAAGTGAACGTACATAATATCATTGATACTTATGGATGCAAGTCATTAGAGTTAAGGCCGAGCCATCATGAGTGGTAAACATATTGTTCATGGTCGGGTGCTATGGACTATGATCCATGATATGGATCGATGGCTCAAAAAGAAGTGTATATGAAACAGTCTTAAAGTTCTATTGTACCTTGTATTAAGTATAAAAATATATACATTCATATGTATGGTAATGAAAGCACATAGACACTAAGATCAATTTTTTTTTTTTTTTGAAAAATGGAAAGGCATGACTCCTGATGGTAAATACTACACACCTATAGAAATGAATATACAATCCAAGGTGTATCGTGTTAAAAAAATTATGGAACTATTTTATAAAGTTTGTATGCCAAATTTAAATGCAAACCATTTTTAAAATTAAATATAAAAATAATCAGAGAAGGTTAATTATTTATTTGTTTCCTTAAAAGACACTTTTAAGGGTATATAACAAATCATAAAATATATTTTTCAAAAATACTCCACATTTCATTTTATTTGGCATTATCAACCTTTCACATTAATTGAGATTTTTATTAAGATACACAACTTTTTATTTTATTTGGCATCACAATCTTTAGAATTAATTGAGATTTTTGTTAAGATACACATCCTTTCATTTTATTTATTAAGAAACACAACTTTTCCTTTCTTTTTTTAAAGAGACACAACTTTCCATTTTATTTTGCTTTTACAATATTTCACATTAATAGGCATTTTTATTAAGAATTATAACTTTTCATGTTATTTGGCATTCACAACGTCTGGAATTAATTGAGATTTTTATTAAGATACACAACTTTAGAATTAATTGGTATTTTTATTAAGACACACAATCTTTCATTTAATTTATTAAGAGACACAGCTTTTCATTTTATTTTATTAAGAGACACAACCTTTCATTTTATTTATTAAGAGAAATAACTTTCATTTTATTTTACATTTACAACATTTCACATTAATTGATATTTTTATTAAGAGTCACAATATTTTATCTTGATTGACATTCACAACTTTTAGAATTAATTGGGATTTTTATTAAGATACACAATTTTTATTTTATTTGACATTCACAACCTTTAGAATTAGTTGTGATTTTTATTAAGAGTCAACCTCTCATTTTATTTATTAAGAGACACAATCTTTCAGTTATTTCTTTAAAGAGACACAACTTTTCATTTTATTTTGTATTTTCAACCTTTCACACTAGTAGACATTTTTATTAAGAGTCTCAATTTTTTTTATTTGGCATTCACAGACTTTTAAATTAATCAACATTGTTATAATTAGTGGATTTTTATTATGAGAAGACACAACTCTTATAACTATTTTAAATATTTTTAAATTATTTTTTCTGAGACACAATTGTTTTTATAATGAAAAGATGCAACTTTTAAACTAATATATTTCATTTTTTATGAAGAGAAATAACCTTTCAAAAATTGTTATTATGAGAAGACACAATTCTTACAAGCTCTTTTAAATACATTTAAACTATTTTTTATGAGACACAAACTTTTTTTTATAATGAAAAAGATGCAATTTTTAAAATAATAGAAATTATTTTATAAAAAGACGCAATTATATTTTTAATAAAAAGATGCAACTTTTAAACTAATATATTTCAGTTCTTATGAAAAGATACACAACCTTTAAAACTAATATATTTCAGTTCTTTAAATAGACACAACTTTTTATTTTATTTTGTATTTTCAACCTTTCACACTTATAGATATTTTTATTAAGAGTCTCAATTTTCTTTTTATTCGGCATTCACAGCCTTTGAAATTAATCAAGATTGTTATAATTAGTAGATTTTTATTATGAGAAGACGCAACTCTTATAACTATTTTAAATATTTTTAAATTATTTTTACTGAGACACAATTGTTTTTATAATGAAAAGATGCAACTTTTAAACTAAAATATTTAAGTTCTTATGAAAAGATACAATCTTTCAACAATTGTTTTGTTTTTCATCTAATGGTCCAAATAAAATTTTTATGCAACTTTTAAAATGATAGTTTTTTTTTAAATACAAAATTATTTTATAATGAAAAGATGTAATGTTTAAACTAATATATTTAAGTTTTTTTTATGAAAATATACAACCTTTCAACAATTGTTATTTTGAGAAGACACAATTCTTATACCCTCTTTTAAATACTTTTAAACTATTTTATCTGAAACATAAACTTTTTTTAATAATGAAAAGATGCAACTTTTAAAATAATAGATAAATTTTTATGAAACTACACAATTCTATTTATAATAAAAATATGCAACTTTTAAACTAATATAATTCGGTTCTTATGAAAAGATACAACCTTTCAACAATTTTTTTTTTTTGAAAATACACAATTTTTTTATAATGGAAGATGCAACTTTTCAACTAATATATTTCAGTTTATTATGAAAAGATACAATTTTTCAACCATTGTTTTGTTTTTCATGCAATTGTCCTAAGAAATGTTTTTTAGACATACGATATTTATGGCATTAACATTTTTTTTTCAAGCAACACATCTTTTTATATGAAAGAGTCATACTTTTTCATATTTGAAGGATTACAATCTTTGGTTATAATTTTTTTTTTCTTCTATTGGTCTTAATAATTTTTTTATACTTAAATTAAAATTGCTATGAGCAGTTATTTTTTTTTTCAAACAACACATCTCTTTAATTTGAAGAGTCATACTTTTCCCTAATTCTTGATTTTTAAAAAAGATTTTGAAGAGTTTCAGTCTCGTGGTTGTAATTATTATGGTTCTATCTAATGGTCCTGAAAATGTATTTGGTTGAACTTTTTTTTCCTCGCAACTCTTGAAAATATTCATTTTAAAACAAAACACAACTCTTGATAATCTATCAATGTACATTTTCAGATTACTATAAATAGAACGTTTTACAGATGCAATTCTATAAGAAAATTTATGTGTTTTATGATTCTTAGTACTTTTGAATATACTGTTTGATTTATTATATAGTTTTAAACGATCTTTAAAAATTTAATGTGGTGTCTGCAAAAATAAATTAATAGGTTTAGTTTCAGTGAAACTAAACTACCATATCCAAACCAATCTGGCTGTAAGAAAACAACCTATTTTTTTTTGTAATCTCTTATTCTACTTCCGATAAAGTCCTTTTTTTTGTTTTTCTAACCCAGTTTGTATGGAGGTACTAAGCCTCATAGATTTAAAAATGTCGTTCTTTGCATGTTAATTACAGTGTTTTAAAACATATTATATTATTTAATTAAAAGATGTAAACTGTTCCATCATTTGAACAAATTTTAAAAGTTTGTCTTCTCATATATAAAAACATAAAAGAAAATGACTGCGACTTTAATATTAAAGTTTACTTAATATTGTTATGCTAAACACATAACATTTAAATTTATACATTTTCAAACACAAATTATATTTTCACTCTTCTATTATATAAGATTATTTTTTAAGTATTAATCTTCGTACAAAATAATTAGTTTATTAAATGATTCAAAATGGTTGACTAACAAATATAAATTATATTAAAATTATTTAAAAAAAAAACATATTTTCTCCCGCGCGTTTACTCCCGCACGTTTACGCGCGGGGTGGTTTCCTAGTATAATTAACAACAAAGAATATGATCGAAATGAGTTTCATTAAAAAAATAACTAATCCAGATTTAGAGTTTAGATTTGAGGAGTGAAGTTTTGGGATATATGTTTAGGACTATAAAAATTATATAAGTAAATACTAACAAATTAAATTAGTTTCAATAAAAAAATTAGGCTTTCAAAATAACTTTTAGAGAAATTTTTTAAGAAAACAAATTTCAAAAAAGAAAAAAACAAAAAAGTTTGAATTCAAAAATGTATTGTTCAAAAATAGTAACTTTTAAAAAAAATTATAATGTAAATATATAAGAGCATTAATATCGCGGTCTGCATTGTATTTTAAGGGGTGGGGGCTCACGATTTATGAAAAAACCATCCCTTATATTGCATAATAAGCGACGTTTATTGTGAGTTTTTTACACTATTTTGCGGATTCCATGACACGTGGTGACTCGCAATTGATTTTTTTCTATAAATCAGGTAAAACAAAAAAAAATTCTTTTTTTTTTTAAAATCCACCTTATCCGTCTCCGCGATATTAATGCCCTAAAAATATTTTACTTGTTTCATACAACTTTTTGGTCATTTTTTTCCTAGTGGGTATTTTTAGTGAGAAATCTATTTAAGAATTATTTATATATGACAGTAGATTTATATTTTTGCATAAGTTTTAATATTTATAGTTTATATCGTTTTAGTGAATTTTTAATATGATCTTTTTTATTGTGGTCCATGAATTCAGATATCTATATTTTGTTTTGGATTAAATCAAAATAAAGGAATGATCAAATCAAATTTTACTGATATGTTATCCACCCTTGGGAGAATAATCTGCAGTTCAGATATTAAACTTAATCTTATTCGAACATTAGGATTCATACAATTCACGTTCTCTCTTCTAGGGAGAGATTTTTACAAAGAAACATGAATGTTCTTTGTTTTGTTCTTATCTCATTTGAAGCATTAGCAACTCCGGTTTCTCAATATACTCTTTCCACTGACAGCAAAACCGAGCCACCGTTGCTCCATCTAGAACTCTATGATCGGCAGCGATGTTAACCTGTTGACAAAAACCAAGTTCTTGATCAAGCTTTGGTACTAACAAGAATCTTTAAACAAAGAAATGATTTAAGTTTTTACCATCATTGTCGATGCAGGATAAACAGACCCGTCTTCTTTAAACTTTGGAACTTTCTCGATTCTTCCAAGAGCGATGATGGCAACTTCAGGCAAGTTAAGAAGAGGGGAACCAAACTTCCCACCGATTGCTCCAATGTTACTCAGAGTTATGGTTCCTCCGGTTACATCCTCGGGGCTAAGCTTGTTGTTTGTTGCCAAATATTGTAACCGGGACATCTCTTTGGTTATCTCTAGTAGAGAGAGTGACTGAACATTCTTTATATTGGGAACGACAAGGCCATGTTCAGTAGCCATTGCAACCCCAATGTTGTGTGAACCTGAGACAAAACCAAGAATCAATATATAAACACTCTAAAGATAAATAAGCTCAAGAAAAAACCTTTAAGGATGATCTCTACAGACTCCTCGTTGAAGCAACTATTGACGAAAGGGTATTTGGTTAGAGCCATTGAGAGTGACTTGATTAAAGTGGGAAGGAACGTGTGTTTGATGGTGGAATCTGTATTGTTCTCTTTAAAGAACTGTTTAAGCTCCACAAGAGCGTCACAGTTTATCTCTTCAACGAAATGAAAATGTGGTACTTTTGTAGCCATGGTCATTGACTTGACCATTGCTCTGTTGAATCCCCTGAGAACAAAGAAAAGGTTTCCACATTGATTCAGACACAAAGTTACTATTTATAACCAGTCACACATTGAAAACAATAGGGCGTACCTTAGAGGAACTATCTTATCTTCAAAGTCGCTGGAGACTGAGTCTACTCTGATTACAACATTCTCAGAAGGAGCTGAATCCGTTACATTTCCTTTCTGGCCACCGAATCGAAGAACATCTTCTTTCAAAACTCTCCCATCTTTACCACTTCCAATCACGAGGTTGATGTCTATGCCAAGGTCTTTTGCAAGGTTACGAACAGCAGGCGTTGACAGAGCTCCAACAAGACTGTCTAGTTTTTGCTTTGAACAGCTTGGTTCTTCAATTTTTGGACAATCAGAGGTTACTAGAAGACCATCCTGGGGGTCTTCTACAGCCAGCTTAACCAGAGTCTCTCCAACCTTGCATCAAATAGGTTTCACCGCATATAATAAACAATACTTAAACCTCAAATCATTTAGCTGATGTAAAGAAAACTTTCTTTAACTAAGCACCATAGATACTATGAGCCTTAAATACATTAATCATTATCTAGTCTCATCTAACCTTGATGATGTCCCCTGGAGCATGTGAAATGAGAGCTACTGTACCCTTGAAACGACTAGTTATCTCAATGGTTGCTTTATCGCTCTGAACTTCACAGAGTGGCTGAAACTCTTCCACAGGATCTCCCTGTAATGAGAAAGGAAAAAGAAAAAGAAAAACAAAAACAAAAACAAAAACAAAACGACTGATTCAAAATTTTAAACCAAAAAATTGAATCTTTTTAGCAAAGAAATGAAAATGAAAAGAAAACAGACCTCTTTGACAAACCACTTGAGAAGCTCACATTCAGCAATACCTTCCCCAGTTTGTGCAAGTGGCACATCAATGAACCCTCCTCTTGCATTTGAATCTATGGACATGGCTTCGTTCGAAAACCAGCTTCTACTTCCTCCACACCATTTCATCAACTGCCCCCAAATCAAAGATTAAATATGACCAACTTGTTTAACATATAAACATTTCTCAACTATTGTCACTCTAAACAGATTAATGTTTCTTAAAATAAAATAAAAACTAATGTTTCCTTTTCACTATGAGAAGCTTGTCGGAAACTGATCTCATAGTAGAGCCAACACAATCACGCCTTTTTAAAGCAACAAAGAAAAAAACAAAAACATAAGTTGAAGAAAACTCACAGAGAGAGAAGGAACAAGGAACGGGCGCGAAGTCGGAGAGGCGAATGACTGAGAATGATACTCCGGAACTCGCAACGGTGGAGCGCAAACAGAAAACGAGCTGAATGGGCGGAGTAACCGATGGCTCCGCCAGATCCGCCGCGCGATCATCGTCGTTTCACGGTTGGTCTTTTCGTTAAAATCAGTGTAAGGAGAAGGAAAAGGACAGATGAATCCAACAACTCGGAAGTTAGCAAGAAAAATAAAACTCTGGCAGACACTCTTAAAATACTTGTCAGTCCTAACCTGGTTAAAGCTAAGTGCTGCTGATTAAATATAACTAAAGGATTAGTACCGATAACAAACAAATAAATTAAGTTTATCCATGCCACGTCAGCAATATCTCAGCGCTTTTGAGGATTACACGCGTGTCCTGAGTCATGGCACCAATCACCAAGTGACTGTTCACGGGTCCGGCTTATCTGATTACTGATTAGTTCGTCTAATGCCACGTCAGTAAAAAACAATTATATACCAGTGCACGGAACTTTGAACGAGGATCAAAAGGTACGTACACGCGACATGTTTTCTTAAGTATTGAGTATTGACCAAGTGGTTACTAACCTGAACTTAATTATCGCTCATATCATTAAAATGCCGAACTGGTGGTTGTATATGACATGTGAAGTGGTGCATTCAATATAGTAGTTCGTTTATGACCAATGTAGTCCTAACAAGAAACTGTACACAAAGCAATCACAATTTTGTTTGCTCATAATACAAAGTTGAATCCAACAGCATCATCAGTGGTTCAGAGCATTTTACAAATCTTTAGTTTATTGGGCTTTTAGGTCCATGCTTAGTTATGAAGTTTGTCTCATTTAGGCTTGGACATCGTACCGAAATCAACCCAAAAATTTATAAGTTTTATTAGGGCTGGGCAAAAAAAACCGAACCCGAAAATCCGAACCGAATCCGACCCGATAAAAAGGAACCCGAACCGATCCGAACCCGACATAAGTACCGAATGGATCTTGTTTTTCGGTATTTCGGGTTATGGGTATTACCCGAACCGAACCCGAACTTAAATGGATATCCGAAAGAACCCGAAACTTTAAAATTCCAAAAAAACTTGTATCATATCCAATCTAAATTTCTAATATGTTTCCAAAACAGATTAATATATGATTGAGTACCTATAATAATTAGTTATGATATAAATAACTAACTCAAATATTTAGTCTAATATATAGTGTTATTTGGTTAATATTAATGTTTATGATTGACATTACATTTGAAGTTAAGTTACGAATAAATTTGTTTTGAAGTTTATATAATATTGTTTTTAAAAGTTTAAATAGCACTTGTTATGTTTATAGAATTGTTAGTTGTTAACTTTAATTTTTTATGTTTCATTATGTATTATATTTCGTTCATACAAGGCTTTGGTTTGTCATTAATCATGATATGTTTAGTGTTGTCACATATAGTTCACTGACAAATCTTATATGGTTGATAGGTGAGTTTCACAATATTATTTTGAAGGAGAACAATATGGTTTGTAGAAGCTAAATACACAAATTTAATAAAATGATTGAAAATATAGTGAGTTTAATTGAGCATAAATTAGTATTTTTAGAACCGATAACCCGATTAGTATCCGAAACCGAAACTATTTCGGGTTCAACCGGATCTTGGACATGTTACTAAATCCGAACCGAACCCGATTAAACCCGAACCGAATCCGACCCGAATTTTTATAATATCCGAATGGGGCTGAAATTCATGAACCCGAAAACCCGAAACCCGAATGAACCCGAACCGAAACCCGATTGGGACCCCGATTGCCCAGCCCTAAGTTTTATATTAGATCTAAAATTTCTCTATCCGCAAAAACCAGAACTGAAAAGAAACGATTCAATTAGATCCGATTTGATAAAAACCGCTTCATACCTAATATAAAAATATGAATATCCAAAATTATAATTCATGTGTTTATATTTTTATATTTGAATGTATGATTTAGTTGAAATATTTTTTTGTTAGGAATTTTCAATATTACTTTTATAGCATTTTTCAAATAATATGAAAAGATGGTAAATTTAGAGTGTAAAAATGTTTGATTTCAATTATTAATAGTGTAATATTAGTTATTTTACAAAAAAATAGACAAAATGATGGATTTTGATTAAATATTAATCTATTTTTGCTATTTTAATTTTTTTCCAGATCTTAAATATCCGAACCAGACATGACCCCGCTATAGATCTTAAAATTATACTCCCTCCATTCCTAAAAGATTCATGTTGTGGAAAAATATTTTGTTTCAAAAAGATGTATATTCTATGTTTTCTATGAGAAAATTACAAGTTTCAAAAAATTTAATTGGTTCTATTAAATTATTATCGGCTAAAAGTTGTTGAAAATTACTGAAAACGATAGTGATTTAATGTGTTTTCTTAATATGTGTAAAAACACTAAAAAATTTATCTTTTAGGAACGTGGACCGAACTGGTTCGGGTCTGAAATCCAAACCCGAAACGAAAATTCATAAATATCTATTAGATCTAAATATTTAACATCCAAAGGATCCAGACTAGAAATAAACCAACCTGAACCCGATCCGGAAATCCAAACGTCCAGTCCTAGTCTCATTTCCGGAAAAAGATACTGGAGATATGAAAGTTGTGAAAAAAATTAACTGAAGATACACATACATGTAGATATATCCAGAAGAAAATAAAAAACTATGGGGGTGTATAAAGAAGAAACAAATAAATTATCGAAAACATTATCAAATCAGCAGCGTTACGTTGAGGAGTGTGCCAATTATCACGATTATATCACACGTCATCCATATTTCTATTAATATCGTTTTTACTTTCACGTCTTCTCCTTAAATTCTGAGCTCCGAGTCGCAATCTCACCTAAGAAGATAGTTAGAGAGAAAGAAAACCAATGGCGAAGGGGAAGACGACGATGGAAGTTGGCGCCGATGGCGTTGCCGTCATAACACTCATCAATCCTCCCGTCAATTCGCTATCATTCGACGGTACTCTGCTCCTTTTCTTCGTCCTCCTCAGATTTAATTAAATTTATGTTTGATCTGGAATCTCTTGCGTCTTTAGAATTCTAGGTCAATCTCAGCGTTTTGATTCTTATCATATGAATCTGATCATGTGAAATTGAGGTTACGATTGGTTTGATGTCATGCGCTTTTAGTTTTAGCAAATAGTTTGTGATCTCGTGTATTGAGATTATTACTGACGAAGCGAGTGAACCTGAGTCTGATACTCTGTTTTTTGTACAGTGCTATACAATCTCAAGAGTAATTACGAGGAGGCCTTGAGCAGGGATGATGTTAAAGCTATTGTTATCACTGGTACGTTGGGTGGATATCATTCTCGTTAAAGCCAAAAACACATCACGTTGATGTAAGCGTTTGGTAATGGCCTTTTGTGTTTTTATTCTTGCAGGTGCAAAGGGGAAGTTCTCTGGTGGATTTGATATATCTGGATTTGGTGAAATTCAGAAAGGGACTAGTACGTTTTCAGTGTCTTCTTGGTATCTTTGTTGATTGTATTGGGGTTAATCTATTGATGTTTATTGTAGTTTCTATGTTGATTTATCACAGTGAAAGAGCCAAAGGTTGGATACATATCAATTGACATCCTCACCGATTTGCTTGAAGGTTATTTTTTCTAACTTAACTGGCTTAATTGACTCACGCAATGGCTCTGGTGATGTGTTTTCTGAGGGGTTGATTTATTTCTTTGGCTTTCAGCTGCAAGGAAACCGTCTGTCGCTGCCATTGATGGGCTTGCCTTGGGAGGAGGCTTAGAGCTTTCCATGGTAGAGTTTCTATGTTATATATTGCCTTCCCCATAGATCCTCTGAAACTGTTGAGCATTGTCTTTTATTAGATGAATGTTGATACAGTTGTGTTATTTGTTTTCAGGCCTGCCATGCAAGGATATCAGCTCCTGGTGCACAGTTAGGTCTCCCCGAGCTGCAACTTGGTGTTATTCCTGGGTTTGGAGGTACATAGATAGTCAAATCCTTAATGTTTGCCTTTGAATCCTATGGACGATAATATTTTCAAAACTCGTGGCATAAGAAGTCAAAGCATTTTTGATGCAAACTGTACCATGGAACGGGGATATGAGTGATTTGTGTTTGTGTTGAATACATCAATTCGTTTTTCGTTTTTCACTCAGTTATGCTCCTTTGCTTGATGCAGGAACACAGCGTCTTCCACGTCTCGTTGGTCTCACAAAAGCTCTTGAGATGATTTTGGTACGTCAGTGCCTTATTCTAATGGTAGGTTAGTCTACTTTGGTTAAAATTTAACGGCATTTCTTTTGTTGAAACATGTAGACATCTAAGGCGGTTAAAGCTGAGGAAGGTCATACATTGGGTCTTATTGATGCTGTCGTGCCACCTGCGGACTTACTAAATGCGGCTCGTCGCTGGGCCCTTGACATTGCCGAGAGGAAAAAACCATGGGTTTCCAGTGTTTTAAAGACTGATAAGTTACCTCCTCTTGGAGAGGCAAGGGAGATACTGAAGTTTGCCAAGGATCAGACACGCAAGCAAGCCCCTAACATGAAACACCCTTTAATGTGCCTTGAGGCTGTTGAAGTTGGTATTGTTTCTGGTCCGAGGGTTGGTTTAGAAAGGGTATGTTATTATCTTCTTACTGCGTTATACATTCTTTATCGTTTCCCACTGAGAGTAGTGACCCTTTACCAAAATTCCATTTCATTGTCACTTATAGGAAGCTCAAATCGGCTCAGAAGTGATAAACCTGGATACCACCAAAGGCTTGATCCATGTCTTCTTTTCTCAGCGAGGAACTACAAAGGTCTGTGGGTGTTTATGCAATTTAGGCTTATGTACCACTAAACCTCTGTTTCTTTTTTTTTTAACAAAGTTTTAACTATTAGCATGAAACCTTCCCTTTTGATTCCTTCCAATGTATATTATGGATAGGTTCCTGGAGTTACTGATCGTGGGTTAGTGCCAAGAAAGATTAATAAGGTAGCCATTATTGGAGGCGGGTTAATGGGATCTGGAATAGCCACTGCATTGATCCTCAGTAACTATCCAGTGATTCTCAAGGAGGTAAATGAGAAGTTCTTGGAGGCTGGAATTGGCAGGGTCAAAGGTGGGAACGGATTTGAATTTCTGTACATTGCTTACCAACGAATTGCAAAAAGCTTGAACTGACTGATTTTATTAACTTGATCAGCTAATCTTCAGAGTCGTGTAAAGAAAGGAAAGATGTCTAAGGAAAAGTTTGAGAAAACCATGTCACTCCTTAAGGGTTCTCTTGACTATGAAAGCTTTAGGGATGTGGACATGGTCATCGAGGTAATAATTAGCATAATGAGGCTGCGTTTTGTTTCCTGCGTGGCAACCTAAGTGAATCGACTTTGCTTGATGTCTTTTGGGTGGCTTGAACAGGCTGTTATTGAGAACATATCTTTGAAGCAGCAAATTTTTGCTGATCTTGAGAAATACTGTCCTCAACATTGTATCCTTGCTAGCAACACATCTACCATTGATTTGAACAAGATTGGTGAGCGGACCAAGTCCCAAGATCGGATTATCGGAGCACATTTCTTCAGGTGATTACTTCTCCGTTGCGGCTTTGATGAATTTCTCAGTGCAAGTCTTATGCTTGTAGTGGTTTTCCTCACGCTACACTAATCATGTCTATTCATTTTCCTGATGCAGTCCAGCACATGTTATGCCACTGCTTGAAATAGTCCGGACCAATCATACATCTGCCCAAGTAATTGTTGACCTGTTAGATGTTGGGAAGAAAATTAAGAAAACACCAGTCGTGGTTGGAAACTGCACAGGGTTTGCAGTTAATAGGATGTTCTTCCCATACACACAAGCAGCTATGTTCCTTGTTGAGCATGGAGCAGATCCATACCTAATCGACAGGGCAGTCAGCAAGTTTGGAATGCCAATGGGCCCCTTCAGGTATATCGCATTGTGAAGATCTATGTCAATCTCCTACGTATTTCTTTTAACTGTACCTTTGTTACTTATATGGACGAGTAGATTGTGCGACCTGGTTGGATTCGGTGTGGCGATTGCAACTGCGACACAATTCATCGAGAACTTCTCCGAACGGACATACAAATCAATGATTATCCCACTCATGCAAGAGGACAAGAGAGCTGGTACATTAGAGAGGATAGCTGATTAATGTTCTGTTGATTTAACATTCTTCTAAACCTTGTGAACGTTCTTGTTGGTTTCAGGTGAAGCCACTCGTAAAGGTTTCTATCTTTATGATGATAGGCGCAAGGCTAAACCTGATCCTGAGTTAAAGAAGTATATCGAGAAGGCAAGGAACTTATCAGGAGCAAAGCTTGATCCGAAGGTATCTCACTGTCCAAAATTCAAGCAAAGATTTTCATTTTGAATTTGAAAGGAACTCACTGTTTTTTTTTTCTTTTTCTCACACTGTTTTTGCTGTGGCTTGCAGTTGGAGAAACTGTCGGAGAAGGAAATTATTGAAATGACGTTTTTCCCAGTAGTGAACGAGGCGTGCAGAGTTTTTGCTGAAGGTATTGCTGTCAAAGCAGCAGACCTTGACATTGCTGGCATATTTGGAATGGGTTTTCCACCGTACAGGTCAGTGTTATCATCAAACAAAATCTTTGTCAAATTCTCTTTTGCTCATTGTTGATGTAATCTTCTCTTGTACGCAGAGGAGGAATCATGTTCTGGGCTGATTCCATTGGATCGAAATACATCTACTCAAAGCTAGATGAGTGGTCAAAGACTTATGGTGATTTCTTCAAGCCTTGTGCTTTCTTGGCTGAAAGGGGATCCAAAGGAGCTCCTCTGGTGAGTATTCTTTTTCTTTTCCTGTTTTGGTACTTTTCAGTTTTGTGCACTTGTTTATGAAGCAGATTTGTTTTTTCTTCTTGGGATTGCTATTAACAAAATCTATTTGAGCTTTAGCTTATATTACATGACTATTACTTAAATCATATCAACATACTACCATGACTGTTTATCTAATCATTGTCCAGCTTAGCTTTACTCAATTGTAACTCAGATTATTTGACTATTCCTCAATCTGTACTGCAGAGCGCTCCTTTGGAACAATCCAGGTCGCGGTTGTAAGGTCAGCCTTTCAACGCGAAACTTTTCTTCGTTGCTGCATCTACTGTCTTTTCTTTTATATTCACATTTACTTGCCAAAAACGTTGGGAACTTTGGCCTCAGGACCTTTTAAAATAAAGTTTCATCTCTTGTGAGAAAGTAGAAAGTAAGTTCTAGTAGCAATAAGGTACGGTTATGTGATGTATGATGCTTTGTTACAAAGCCGTCAGATACATTTGTCATAAAGTTATTGAATAATTGTACGAGTTAAATCTTAAATACTTCTTAATTCTATTATAGAAGGTTAAATAAAATAAAAATCTATTGGTTGAAGAGATTAGTGAGTGTGTTACTACTACACCCATGGATTAGTGAGTTTGGTTACAATATGTAACTCGATTTTGTATATAACGCAGGGCCTGTGAAACTCAGTTCAAATAGATGTGAACTTACCTGTATAAAAATAGAAACAATTCGTAATGACTAAACATGACTGAAATGGAAGGGGACCATAATAGAAGCATGGGGTTGGGGAGAAAGATAAGACGAGACAAATCAAGAATTGTTTCATAAGTTTAAACAAGAGAAAAAAACATGAGTAATCAATCTTTGGACCACCTTTTGTCTTTCTCTTAGGTCTCTTGCTTTTGGATACGTTACAGATTAGTGTTCTGATTAAACCTTAGTACCTTGCAACACATATCTTCGTATACAATTTGCCCCCTTGAAAACAAATTAAAACCAAATAGAATTCCTGGATATTAGAAGGCTGTATCAATGTTAAAATTTAATTACCTTTTACAAGTTTTAGACAGAAATACAAAGAAAACACAGAACAGAAGATACAATAATTTAAGCTAAACACCCATTCAATCTAAGCTAAACAAGGCGAACAAGAGCTACAAGTAAAGCAACAACAAGACCATAGACTACACCAAACTAAGCACAAACTCTTGCCACAAAATTGGAACCACAGTTAATGCGAGAACTGAACCCGGTAGAAATGGCAGTACCCGGGTTTATCAACGCATCTTCGTATCAACTATCAACACATCTTTCGTTGTTTTATAGAATTTTAAGTACGTAGTTGCACAAAAAAGAATTTTATCAAGTACAATACAATGGAGAGGTCATGAATAATACTTTTTTTGCTTGGTTGGCCTCCATGAAACAGAAGGCGGTGAATTTCCTAGAATTAACAAAACTAAAAGATAAGTGATATTTAATACACTAACATGGGGTCTGGACTTACAAAAAAGGACTAACATGGGAGACAACTAGGGTATTTGCATAGTAAATGTATATTTCTTGTTGTCAACGATGGCTTGAAATAAATTAGTAACCATTTGAGATCTTAGACCTCAATGATGAGACAAGTCGACGTCCAACATGATAACAGTTTCAGTATAATATTATTTTTTGTAGTTGTAAAATTGATTTAACTGAAATAAACAGGAAAAAAAAGAGAAAATTCGAGAGGGTACAGATCAGAAACTCTCACGTGCACTTAAGAACTCGACGCTTTTCTCTCTTTCTCTACAAACACTGCTTCATTAAGAGGAACGAGAGAGAGGACTCAACGATTTTTGTTTTTCTTCCTTGTGTTATTTTTTTTGTAATGGTGAACTTCAAAGATCAAGACATGGGAGAAGGGATGCAATGCATAACACATCCTCACACAAAGAACCATGGTGGGATATGTGCATTGTGTCTCCAAGACAAACTCGGTAAGCTCGTCACTTCCTCTTTTCCTATCTCTGAACCAAACCACCTCTCTTCTTCCACCTCTTCTTCAGCTAATCTTACCTACAAGAGAAGCAAATCTATGGCTGCTTCTTACGGTGAGAGTTTCAGCCAGAGGAAACGAAGTGGTTTCTGGTCCTTTCTTCATCTCTACTCTTCCAAACACCAAATCGCCACCACCACCAAAAAGGTCGACAGCTTTAGCCATTCTTCTAGACCAAGAAACCAGACAACAACAGAGACAACATCGAATCAGGTCGTTGGTGGAGGCATTGATGTGATAGTTGAGGAAGAAGATGAGATCCCTAGTAACAAAGAAGTTCCAGAAACGCCAACAAGCAGTGTTGGTAGTGGATCATCTTTTGGGAGGAAAGTGTTGAGATCAAGATCTGTCGGGTATGGAAGCAGAAGATTCTCCGGTGGGTCTGGAGATTGTGCCTTGAGAAGGATTGAGTCACAGAGAGAACACACAAAGGTCATTAGTAATGGTGGGGGTGAAGCAGATGATGCTATGAGTGAAATGGTGAAATGTGGTGGTATCTTTGGTGGGTTTATGATTATGACATCAACATCATCAACTTCAACATCAGCATCATCAACAGTTGATCATCATCATCATAAGATGGGGAATAGAAGCGCGTGGGGATGGGCAAGTCCAATGAGAGCCAAGACTAGTCATAAAGGTCGTACTATTACAGAGGCTTCAACTGACAAGAAGAAAGCATCTCCAAACTTGGACTCAGTTCCTGCCTTGGTTACTATGAAAGCTAAAAGAGTTGCATTATAATGTAATTTCAGTCTATGGATTTATATTTCATTCATGTGTTTATTAATAATTAGGCTGTTTTTTTTGTTCTTTGGACATTGGTTTGATCATTGGGGTACAAGTAGTAATGTAATGTCACACCATTTATCTCTTTTTTTTTTCAATTTCTATGCTTGGCCTATTGGCTAGATGTTGGTGATCATCATCGATTCATCATAAAAGCTTGAAACCTTTAGGAGAATGAGCTTTAGGATACTTGCTGCTTTGTCTCATTGTTATGATTATTTTCTTGTTAATGGATTTGTTATTATTTACCAAAATATTTGTCTTGTGGTGTCACTTAAACCAGATGTGTTGTACTATTATAATACTAACAAACTCTACTTGAAAAAGCAGTCAACAGATCTTAGGGTTTTAAGTATAAAATGAGTGGAATCCGAAGCCACATGCCTTTGCACATGCATTATGATTCAAACACTCAGTAAGTCAATAGTTTTCTTTCTCTTATTGGAGCCCCACAATTTTTAAGTAAGACATGCAACAACAAGAAGTCAACAACATCTACAAAACTATTATCAATATCAATTTGGTTAGGTCATTAGACCAAAAAATAATAATTTTGGTTAGATCACCAACCAGCTGATCTGTATATAACATCACAATAAATGCAAAGCCAACATATTAAGTTTGCTGTCCGACCAAAACCACAAGTTTGTAATAGATGGGGGAAACATTGGAATGTCTACTCGATCAAGACATCACACAACTGTAAGGAATATAAACAAAACAAAAAAAATCATGTTATGAGAGGCCCTCTATGATTACATTAATACATTCACATTTGATAATACGATGGTTGAAATTTTTTCACAGACAGAACAGTGTTATGATAACATTAATAAATTCAGATTGATTATTAGATGATATAATATGTGGAAGAGATGGTCGAGACAAGGACATCAAAATGGGTCCCTGAGATGAAAATAAAGACTAACAATTCTGCAAAGAGACAGAAGGGAGAAAAGGCTGCCTTCTGACTTAACCCTATTCATATATATCTTACGTGATCATCTGAATACGATCAATTTTCCGTTGTGGAAATGTGAAATATTTACAGAGCATTTTTTACTTTTGTTACTAGAAAGTAAAAATGTTATTGCACTCTGTTGGGGCATGAGCTTAGTATCAACGAACGCTAGTGTTTAGTGTGTATAGAAATGATTATCTCTGTCTGCTTTTCAGTCAAGTGTGTCTTTTTTCTTGAATTTGAGGGATTATTAGATTTTGATTCAGGTACTAAATTGTCTAACTATCACGTAACTTCTAAACATTTGATAGATATCTAACATCTTTGGTTGCATAGGTTGGAATAGATCAAGCATGCTTGATGTACATGATATCTTTGAGTAAACGCGACTTCAGGGTCATCGCTTTTATCAGCCATGCAAGGTACTCAGAGATATTCAATTTACTTTAAAAGTCAATATCTATCTATAAGTGACACAACTACAATCTTACATATATGTAATACATGTACAAGTATCACAATAAGCTTATTCATTCCACACTATTTTATAGCTGTGTACCTATTTACTCATAACTTTAAAAGTGTAATGTTTACCTCACATCCTTCTTTTTTGTGCTATAAAGGAACCCATCCCTGTTTTTGTCGTCAGAAGTTAGTATTGGTTCTATAAGATTAACCATCTGAATACTATTATGCCATAGCTTGTGTGTATTGTTTTACCTTGATTACTCCAGCTTCTGTACCGCAAAAAACAATGTCATTGCCAGTAAGGAGGCTTGTTATCTTGCTTCCTGCTGATAACCTTCCAACTTTCTGTTGTGTCCTTCTCAACCAAACCTTATTTTCCACAAACCATATTGCCTTACTTTAATATTAGATACAAACTGTTATGATCCTACATGTACCTAACCCAAATATGGTTTTGGCAAGCTAGCCAAGGGTAGTTTCATTTGATTTGATTTTGGTCTAGGAAGCATATTTTTAACATTGCAGAAAAAGATTACCTGAATAGTGTTTGTGGATGAACTTCGATTCAAGTAGATGAAGTCTTCAACAACACCCATAGCTACTATACTGGCCCCCTTTTCAGCTGATATTGACATTTGGGGCTCATAACTCCTTCTTAAGTCCTGTGAGGCCATATTGTTTAAGTCACTTTTCTTTAGTTTATCACATTGTAACAATTTTTAATGTAGATTATTTACCTTGATATTGGACATCTCAACATGGGTGCTTGAGCTATATAACATGTCTTTGTACACAACCACTGAGTTGATGGGCTTGTTTTGAATTCTCCAGCTCCTCGTTGGTGCTCTGATCTCTTTCTCCCGTTTATTTGCAAGTATTAATTCCTGAACAGCTTATGTTATGACTTTGTCTCTTATGAACTCAGTATCTTTTGAATGATATGGCCATATATACCTGTATGCTTGAATCTATACATCCTATGTACATCTTTCCTTGTGCTGCTACCATACTCTTCACACTTTTACCTTTGAAGATACTTTGAGATGTTCTTGATGAATCAAGCATCTGTAGAAAGTTATTAAAGCTTCCTCTAAATGTTTAAGTTGGAGCTGGTGATTATTATCTGATATTATCATGTAATAAAGAGAGAGATATCTACCTTCATCTTGTGCCCTTTGGTTATTACAAAGATCATATTTCCAAATGCTTCCAGTTTCCTTATTGATTCTTTTGTTTTGATGACTTCAACACATTCCAGCTTTCCTTTAACTATCTGCCATATCTATATAAGAGAAGGTAAAACATACATTTCACATTAGCAAAAGGAAAATAATCAATGTTTACTAGAAACAATGAGCTGCATCATTATCATACCCTGATAGTTTTGTCTGCAGATCCACTTAAGACACTCTCTCCTGTTTCAGAAACTGAAAAGCATGTTACAGCGCTTTTGTGCTCCTTGATGTTCCATAGAAGCGTTGATGATAATTTGTCATCCACATTCCACACCTGATAATCTTGCATGCTTTAGGTAATCTTTCTTTAAATATTTCTCTTTCTATACACTTTTTTTTAAAGTATATGAAACATACCTTTACTGAACCATCTGAGTATCCACTGAAGAGCAAGCCTTTAAAATAGATAAGAGCTGTCACAGCTCCACTTCCAGATTGATGCATCTCTATGGTTTGTGTATGAACACAAGATATTCGCTGGTCCTATCAAAATGGTCTGAAAATATGAGTGCAGAACTAAAATCTAACATCTACCACTTGAACATGATCATTCTACTATATCTTTGTGTTAACTTGTGAGTTTGATGATGGTTAGAGATTGTAATAATTTGAAGAAGACTTACTGATTTGCTGAATAGATAATATGTTGCTTTATGCAATTCATCTGCCATCCAAGTCACATTTGAAAGACGTCTTAAAGACTCCCTAACTCCTTCCGAGAAATTGATTAGTTTGTGGATCCCTGAATGCACAATAAACTTTAGTAAAAACTTATAAATTTTCACATATAAACTTTTCAAGTTCACCTTTGCCAGAGCTAAAGTTGTAGATGCATATGCAAGCAAGAAGTCTCTCTTCAAGCTCCAACCCAGGGTGTAGAAATTGTGATATCTCTTCAAGTAAGACTTCACATGCTGAATATTTTAAACTGTTTGGACCTTTTGAAATCTCTATACTGAGCCATGCAATGGCTACAAGACATGCCTTTGCCACATTCTTGTTTTTACTCTTCAGACCTTCTTGTAAACCGCAAAATGTGGCTTTTCCTGTCTCAATAATTCTTCTTGCTATCTTACAACACCAACCATCTATTCCTGTATCCTGCAAAAGTTTATGAAATTTAATCTTTTTGGCTTGGCTTGTTAGGTACTTTTTTGAAACACTTTTTTTTTTTTAAACACAGGCTTGTTAGGTACTATTAAGATGTTTTAACTCTTAAAAATAGTACCTGTAAGCATTCATCTGACCAGTTGATGTTTCTTATCATATTCATGTGTGACATAGAAGTGAGACCTCCTCTTTTCATCAGCCAAGCAGCAGTGTATGGTTCTCCTTTCCATGAATAGGTTCCACCGATATTCGAAAGAATCAATGTTGATAAAAGCTGCATGTTTGAGCATTCACTATATGTAACTGCTTCAAGGAGAGTTCTTATGGCCTCATTTCTGAACTTTTTGCTCTCAGAAGGGGATTCCTGTTGAGAATTAAGTTATTTCTTTAGTAATTTAATAAACAAGACATGGCTTTGGAATGTTTAGAACTAACCAACACATTCAGTTGAAGCAATATATCTGCTGCAAAGAGTTTGTGATCTCCCTGCAGCTGTTTAATACACTGAAGTAATGTCTCTTGAATGTCAAAACTTCCTTCTTTCTTTATCTGCTGCAGAATCTTAATTGCTGAAGACCTGAAAGTACAAGTATGTTGTATATGAAAAGTGTTAGTGGTATTGTCTAAAAAAAAAGTTTGCTTGTTGAGAATATGTATACCTTGGTATCTTCAGGACCTCATGAAGAAACTGAAGAGCAATGAAGATTTCTTCTCTGTCTTTGCTCTGCAGGAGATGCGCAAAAGGGGCCACTCGAGTATGCTGATAGATATACTTCGTGTTGATTCCATCGAACTCCATGCATTTGACTAAAACTCTGGCCAAGGAGATGAATTCCCCTGAGTTTCCACTTTTTGCAACATCAAGAAGTCCACCAAGGACAGAAGGAGAGCTGATCTCAGCTAAGTGCATGGTATTTGTAGCATGATCAAAAGCAGTAATAAGCACTTCTATTATCATCAGTGATGCTGCAGGAGGTGTCAAGAGAGGAGGTGAAGGTCTAAATGTGTAAGCAGAAGAAGAGGAAGTTGATGCAACAACATCCACTAGAGCTGGTAACAGCTCAAGACTTTTTATTTCTGTTGGAGATGGCTTTATCAGGTAGATGAGAATAGCTGCTTCTTGCACATTTTGTTTCAGGGCGTTTGCTAAATGGCTTAGATTCAAACCCTTCTTCTTGACCTCCTCTATAGCTGTTCTATTGACTGATATGATCTTGGTAAGTGCAGTCATCGATGCTTTAATCACAGTTTTCTCCTCTGAACTTGATATAGCCATAAGCAGCTGATCTAGAATCACATCCTTGAGCATGCTATACTTGACTCCTTGCTTTCCGTTGAGCATTTGATAGATCATTGTAACCTCTGAGAGATACTTCTCATCCTCATTCCCTAGCACTTCCTTTATAAAGCTCTGAAGGTTCTCCCATAGACTCATTCTCCGAGCTCTTCTTGAATGCGTCTGAACTCCATCTCCTAGTTTAACCGTTTGCAGATTTCTCCTCATTCCTTCAAAAGTTATGGAACCTTGATGTCCTGAAATTTCTTCCAAATCCAGTTGCCTCAGAGAAGAGACATCTTCTATGTGTGCACTCCTAGTTTTGTATGCTTGTTGAGCCTGAATATCAATGATGGAACGGTTAAAGTGACCAATTAAACTGTGGGATCTTTTGGCTAATGTCTCTTCATTATATTGTTGGATTGGCTGAGAGTCATTCAAGAAGTCTTTGAGGCTCATGACTCTTTTACATGTTCCAAACTCTGGATTGTAATCTTCAGGCAGGTTCCAATCCAAACATGTAGAACCTTCAAAGTTGTTTGCAGACTTCTCAATCTTCCTGGATGCTTTGAGTTTGTTAAAGATATCATTAAGTTCATCTTCTTGCACATCAACACTCTGGAGGTTCTTGTACTGCAATAACTTCAACATGAAAACCAAGAAGTTAAAAAAGGTAACAAGAAAATAGTATGGTCATTAGTAAACATACCTCACAGGTTCCTGATAACTCTAGCTTCTCTGCAACTGAATCTCCATTAGCTGTAGATATCTCTGGCCTGTTCATGTGTAAATTTAGCAACTTTGTATATACTTAATGAAAATTTTACAATTGATATCAAAAGAGAATTACAGAACAATCTATGTGTATTTGGTTTTAAGCTTGGAATCCATACCTATATTTCTTTGGTCTTGGAAGTGGCTTCTCTGTACATTCACCAGACCGTTGATGACTCTTTCCATATGATATAACTTGGTAATAAGTTGCTCTATATTTATACTTCCTTGCAATCTCTCTGATCTCTTCATCTGACTTAGACACACCAGGTGTGAAGAAAAGGCACTCGCAGAGCTCAGGGGCAATCTCGTTTCTTAGGACATCAGGTGAGACCAAAACTGACTGGAGAAAATGCAATGTGGTTTGCAAGGAATCACCTTGGAGACAGCTTACAATGGAGAGGTAAAAGTAAGAGAAAGCAACCAAGATTGTGTTGGGAACACCTAAAGTAGTGGTTCCTTGTTCGTCAAGCAACGCAGGCATTTGAAGCATCCTCTCTGAGTTTCTGAGACAAGACATCTTCTCTTCTGAGGTTTCGGGTTGTATAGAAGCTTCAATGCTTTGGATTCCCCAATAGAGACTCGAGAGAGCAGAGTGTTCAGAGGAGAATTCAAAGAGAGTATTCTCTTCTTCAATGCTCAAGATGGTAATGCATTGCTGCTTAAGTGGAAACCATACTTCAGGGTCTGATACAACGCTGAGAATGTAGTCGTTGATGGAAACTACAACCGCCTGAATGGATTCAAGATCAGAGTTCTCATTACAGGAGATGAGATTTTGAGGAGGTGGAAGGTAAGCCATTTGCTCATACTCTGTTGCACACTAGTTGAGATGGGTTTTATGGGATAAGATGAGAGAAGAAGTGAAGTGAGAGAGAGAATAGAGGTGGGAGAACTATGTAGTCTCGTGAAGGAACAAGCCAAACTCCAAGAAAGAATGAAAACGATTGGTCATGTTTGTATTCTTTTGCTGTCAAAAGGATACATAGTAGTAAAAAAAAGTCAAAAGGGTTGCGTGTGTCTGAGGAAACCTAATAGAAAATGTATTAGGAAATAAATTAAGCTCTAAAACATATTGTAACGGAGGCTATGTTTTTTTGTATAAGTAGTGGAAGAGGACGGTTAATTGGTGAGATTATGAAGTTTAGAAATCTTTATTTCAACCACATTATGAATATTATTGTCCATCATATATATGAGTTTTAAATTATTTTTTGTCAATACCTTTGACCTTTTTCTAAAACCTACATAGGTGCATGTGGGACTATAACCCATGACCTAACTTGGATAAATGATTAGAGAACACCCACAACATTGTGGAGACAATGACAAAACAATGTGTTATACTTTTTTTCTAACTTTATGTCTTAAACTCGAGTATACGTGCATATTATACCTATGCAGCTATGCTGTTTTGATGATTGTGTCAAAAACCATTTTTGTATCTTAGTTAGCTTTGGGTTTTGAGGTTATAAAAGACGAATGATAAAAAAGTTGAAAAAATAGTTGGGCCCCATGAAAAAGAAGTAAGCTAGTCCATTGTCTGTCACGGGGAACGAGAAGCTATGGGGGAACACAGAAGAAGGGACAGGTAAAATAAGAATGGTCAAAAGAGCTCATCTCCTTCTCATCATGCAATGCAAAACATTGGTTCTTGATTTTCTATGTCCTTTGTGTGATATGTAAATAGTGAACAATGATGCCATGGGGATTGGGTTTACTCTTCAATCTAAGAAATCGTTTCAAGAAAAGAAAAAGAAAAAAAAAAGAAAAGAAAAAGAAAAAGAAATCTACCTATAGCTGACAAGTAGACACTGCAGATAGACCTTGTGATTGTAATTTTCTTGGGTTAAGTTATTTGTCATGTAAGAAATAGTGTCAATTCAAATTAAATAGGTGACTCCTCACTTTCTTCTCACAACACAAAAGAAGAAGACCAGCTAGACAGAATCATATATTGTTGTTATAATTTGTTTTTTTGTCAATCGTCCATCTAAATTAGATCAATATTGTTGTTATAATTATAACTTTTCGATTTGATTTTTCATGTGAAAAACACTTACAAAATGATTTGATTATATACATTATTAAATTGCATTTATTTTGGCAATCATCCAGAGAAAATTATATAGCTAAGCACAGTTGGAGTATTTGAATAATAAATAACCTATTATTTTGTTAGTGAGGTCAAAGCACTAAAGACTAATATGATTATAGATCAACAAACAATACTGGCCATCACACATAATTGGACTCACGGGCCCAGTAAACGACATAAAGCCCATTATCCGTGGGCCAGACTTGCAATTTTCATGCAATTCTAAATCTACTTATCGTGCTTTATGGTCGGTAGATTTAAATGAATCCCACTAAAACATTAAAGATCCTGACATCCTTTAACTTTCTGCTAATTGAAAGTACTTCCGAGTATAATTTATCATCGTAAACAACGTTTGCAAGGAAACGTCCCACGAGTTTCGAAGTAATTTAAAAACCGCAAAGACGAAACTATTTTGAACTTTCTAAAAAGACAAACGCGTCCCTCGCTTCTCTTACATATTCCAACTGTAACAAAAAGAAAAAGACACTCTCACACTCATCATCGAAAATGTATCAAGAATATCGTCAAGGCGTTGTAGGCGGTGGTGGCGGATCTACGCCACACGGTATCATACTCGCCGTCGTTGTTGCATTGGTAGTGTTCGTTCCCTTCTTCCTCGGAGACGGCGGCGAAGCCATCACAGAAGGGATCGCAGAGCTTCTCAGTCCTGTGGGACTTCTGTTACTTCCCATTGTTCTTCTCCTCACCATACAGTTTCTCTCGTCTGAACGTGGCTCATTCGTGTCGGCTATTTTCTCCACCGGGGAACCCGAGTCGATCCACCGGGTTAGTGGATCTCCTGTTGGCGTCGCGCTGTTCCTAGTCTTGATCTTGTTCTTGCTTTACAACCGGTTCTCCATCTTTGGTGGAGGTGATGATTCCGACGATTGATGCGACGTCGTATCTCCAGATCTGTAGTTTTTTAATATTTTTAATTCGAAAACAATGGATTAAAAAAAAAAAAAAAAAAAAAAACAATGGATTAATATATTTATTCGATTTTTGTCTTCTTTTATTTTTATTTATTTAAGGATTGAAGTCAAACTATACAGTGGTTTGATGTAATGTACGTACGCACGCGAGTCATGTGACTTATGCCGCAATTTTTCAAGTTTTTATTTAAATTTGATCTTCATGAAAGGGGAATAATTTCATATGGAATTTTTATTTTAAATACTACAAGTTTTTATATGATGGATGATTGTTGAGTTAATATTCATGGGAGACAGACACATTGGAGTTTCGGAATCGTAGTCCCCACCACATGACCACGTGAGATTATTATTATTTGAGTCTTTATTTCTGCTACCTCATATGCAAATCCTCATTTAATAATAATAATTTCGTACAGAGACCATGTTACTACTTTTACTGGCGAAATTCTCTAAGACAAATTTCTTTAACTTAGTATATTCTTATATTTAGTCTATACTATTATTTGCGAAGTGATTTTTCGCAACAGAGCTCCCACGTTAAAAGTTGGAGTGGTTAATATCGTTTATACCCTTAATGAATAAAATATATAAATCAGCCCAAAATAAAAAAACGAAATTATATTTATTTGATTAGATAAATGATTTAAGTTAATAATAATGATAAGAATTATCCATAATCTAGATGTATATTTAAAAATAAAATAAAAAGATAATTCCTATATATATTGTGTTGTTATCGGAAAAATATATTTAATTAATATATAATCAACCATAAATTAGAAACAAATTTCACTGATTTGATGATTATTATTATCTAAAAATAGTTGATATTAATAAACCATAAACTAAAACTGAATTAATATATAAGTAACAATAAATTAATTATATTCAAAAAAGAATTTGCTGATTTAGCATATTCTCCCTAATTTTATGTAGTTATACTTATTTATCATGTTTTTATGATTTTGACTAATAATTAATTATTACCCTTAATTAATGACTAAATAAAATTATTATTATATAATTATGAACCGTATATTAATTACATTTACTACCCTTAATGACAAAGCAAAACATAAACTTAATGACTAATTGGATTTATTACTATATAATGACTAATTAGATCTGTTATTATATAATAATTAGAAACAAATCTTATTTTTCATGTTTCTTATGATTTGATGATTATCATTATCTAGACTAATGATTATAATAAATCTAATTATTCATTATATAGTAATAAATCTAATTAGTCATTAAGTTTATGTTTGCTTCGCCATTAAGGATAGTAAATCTAATTGTCATGTTCTTATGATTTTTACTACCCTTAATGACAAAACAAACATAAACTTAATGACTAATTAGATTTATTACTATATAATGACTAAAAGTTATTACTATTTGACCAAAAAAAGATTTATTACTATATAATAATTAAAAATTTCAATATATACTTAGACATAAGTAAAAAACGAGTTTCAATGATTTTAGATTTATCTTTATCTAAAACTATTTTATATTGGGTTATAAAATCTTTATTAATCTTGAAATATAATTATATTTATAGTAATATATCATTAATTATAAATTAAAAACGAATTTCATTTATTGGATAATCATCCTTATTTTTTTTTTATAGTATGTCTTTATCAACATTGAAAAATAATTATATTAAAATAATAATATTTATTAATATATAATTAATTCTAAATTAAAAACGAATTTCATGAATTTGATAATTATTATTATCTAATTTTTTTATATTGTGTTATATGTCTTTATTAACCTTGAAAAATAATTATATTTGTTAATATATATTTAATTATGAAAAAATTATTTCGCAAAGAATTTATGTATAGATAGTTTACATTACTAAAGATAATTTTATTATATTTTTTTGTTATGTCTAAAAATGATATTAATTTATTACTAAATATTTTAAATTTATGAATATTTTCACATTTAATTTGTGTAATGATGATGAAAAATTTTATATATAGAAAGATTTATTTAAATTATTATTAAATATTTTGAGTGTATGAACAATAATTTATTATAATTTACTTAAATTGATTATATTTTTTATAGATATTAGAAAATTATTAAGCCCGCAAGTGCGGGCAGAACACCTAGTTTTGAATAAATAACGAACTTTATTTTATTTTTTAATTTAAATCAAAGCATTTAATAGTGAAAACCCAACCACTTTTTTACCTTTTTCGACTCGCGACTCTCCAGAATGCAGAGATTTTGACTTTCGATCTTTAAATGAAATATGTTAAAGCCCAAATATGTTAAGTTTCCTTACCCTCTAGGCCCAAGAGAGTTTTATAGGCCTTGCTCCCTTTCGGCCCAAACCTAAGTCTTCTTCCTTCTCGTTAAACCCTTTCAACTTTTTTTCTCCTGAAAAACTTAGCTTCTAATTCACTTCCTTGACAAAACTAAAGCTTTGATTCCTGTCTTGTCTTCTTCAAGAACATACCTTCAGTCTATCGTACTGAATTTAAGTTTAATCAACATAATAGAGATGCGTATGCTATTAAGACCAGGTAATAATCTATTGATGGGCATTTTCAATCTCTGTAAAGTTTCAATCTTTTAATGAAATGGTTATGAATCTGTTTGATCTTGAGCTTGGTTTCTGGTGCAGGAACTATCTTTCGCAAGGATACAAAACCTTATCGTGTCTTCACCTTTTGTAAGAATCTATCATCTTTGTCTGATAATAGTGAGAAGCCTAAAACTTTCGATGGTAATAATAACAGACAAGTTATTGACGAGATTTGCAATGTTTTGGAGAGTAGTTCATGGGGCCCATCATCTGAAACCACTCTCACCGCTCTAAACTTTCCTCCTCAACCAGAGTTCGTCATTAGTGTATTACGTCGTCTGAAAGACGTCAACATCGCAATTGATTACTTCAAATGGTTCGAGAGAAGAACCGAGCTGCCTCACTGTCCTGAATCCTACAACTCATTGCTCTCACTGATGTCTCGTTGCGGAAATTTTAATGCTTTGGAACAGATTCTTGGAGAAATGAGTGTTGCAGGGTTTGGACCATCTGTCAACACTTGTATCGAGATGGTTTCGAGCTGCGTTAGAGTTAATAAGCTTAAGGAAGGGTTTGATGTATTGCAGATGATGAGGAAGTTTAAGTTCCGACCTGCTTTCTCAGCTTACACAACTCTCATCGGTGCTTTCTCAGCGGCTAATAATAAGTCTGATATGATGTTGACTCTCTTTCAGCAGATGCAGGAGTTAGGATATGAGCCAACGGTTCATTTGTTCACGACGTTGATTCGTGGGTTCGCTAGAGAAGGGAGAGTTGACTCTGCTTTGTCCTTGCTTGATGAGATGAAGAGCAGCTCACTTGATGCTGACATTGTTCTTTACAATGTGTGTATTGATTGTTTTGGTAAAGTGGGGAAAGTTGATATGGCGTGGAAGTTTTTTCATGAGATGGAAGCGAATGGTTTGAAGCCTGATGAAGTCACTTACACTAGTATGATAGGAGTTTTGTGTAAGGCTAATAGATTGGATGAAGCTGTGGAGATGTTTGAGCATTTGGAGAAGAGTAGACGCGTCCCTTGCACTTATGCTTACAACACAATGATTATGGGTTATGGTTGGGCTGGGAAATTTGAGGAAGCGTACAGTTTGTTAGAGAGACAAAGAGCTAAAGGGTCTATACCGAGTGTGATTGCATATAATTGCATTCTCACATCCTTAAGGAGAATGGGGAGAGTGGATGAAGCGTTGAGAGTGTTTGAGGAGATGAAGAAAGACGCTGCACCGAATCTTTCAACTTATAACATTCTCATTGACATGCTGTGTAGAGCTGGTAAGCTTGATTGTGCCTTTGAGCTGCGTGATTCTATGGAGAAAGCTGGTTTGTTTCCTAATGTTAGGACTGTGAACATAATGGTTGATCGGCTATGTAAAGCACAGAAGCTTGATGAAGCTTGTGCTATATTTGAGGAGATGGATTATAAGGTTTGTACACCAGATGAGATTACGTTTTGCTCGCTTATAGATGGTTTAGGGAAGGTGGGAAGAGTTGATGACGCTTATAAAATCTACGAGAAGATGTTGGATGCTGAGTGTAGGCCTAACTCTATTGTTTACACATCTCTCATAAGGAGCTTTTTCAACAATGGTAGAAAAGAAGATGGACACAAGATATACAAAGAGATGATGATTAGTCAAAAATGTTCACCTGATTTGCAGTTTCTTAATACATACATGGATTGCATGTTCAAGGCTGGTGAGCCTGAAAAGGGAAGAGCCATGTTTGAGGAGATAAAAGCTCGTGGTTTTGTCCCCGATGCTCGTAGCTACTCGATCTTGATTCATGGACTGATCAAAGCAGGGTTTGCTAATGAAACTCACGAGTTGTTTTACTCCATGAAAGAGCAAGGCTGTGTGTTGGACACACGTGCTTATAACATTGTCATTGACGGTTTCTGCAAGTGTGGGAAAGTTAACAAAGCTTATCAGCTACTGGAGGAGATGAAGACAATGGGTTTTGAACCAACTGTTGTTACGTATGGTTCAGTCATTGATGGACTTGCTAAGATAGATCGGCTTGATGAAGCTTATATGCTCTTTGAGGAAGCAAAGTCAAAGAGAATAGAGCTAAACGTGGTGATTTACAGTAGTCTTATTGACGGGTTTGGGAAAGTAGGAAGGATTGATGAAGCTTACCTTATCTTGGAGGAGCTTATGCAGAAAGGGTTAACACCTAATGTTTATACATGGAACTCATTACTTGATGCGTTGGTGAAAGCTGAGGAAATCAACGAAGCCTTGGCCTGTTTTCAGTCGTTGAAAGAAATGAAATGCACTCCAAACCAAGTTACTTACGGTATACTAATAAACGGTCTCTGTAAGGTCAGGAAGTTCAATAAAGCCTTTGTCTTTTGGCAAGAGATGCAGAAACAAGGGATGAAGCCAAGCACTGTTTCATACACCACCATGATTTCAGGACTTGCAAAGGCTGGGAATATTGCAGAGGCTGGTTCATTGTTTGATCGGTTCAAGGCTAATGGTGGCGTTCCAGACTCTGCTTGTTATAATGCTATGATCGAAGGTCTGAGTAATGGAAACAGGGCAATTGATGCTTTTGCGTTATTTGAGGAAACACGTAGGAAAGGATTGAATATTCATAGTAAAACTTGCGTTGTGCTTTTGGATACTTTGCATAAGAATGATTGTCTTGAGCAAGCAGCTATTGTTGGAGCTGTTTTGAGGGAAACGGGAAAGGCAAAGCATGCTGCACGATCTTGGTAGGGAGTAATTACTTCTTTGGTTGTATAGGACAAACAAGAAGACGTTCTTGGTTGTGTCTGATACCAGTCAAGTGGTGATTCTGAACGTTTTTGATCTACAAGAATCCCAAGTTTTTGGAGATGATAATGTTTTTGACTTTGAGTAAATCATCACTGGAAGAGCGAGCTCCTTATACATTTGAAGAAGCAGAAAGTTTAAGAAGAATGATATTAGCAATGAATTTCTTAGTCTTGTCAACTGTAGTATAACACATAGCATGAGTTTGATCTGTTATGATCCTATCCTGAGCTTGAAAGCCTACTTATTGTATTACTTTGGATGAATGATCTGAAGGTTTTGTTAGACGAGAGATAATAGAATTCATCTTACGCTCACAATCTTTTACCATAGTAATATGTTTTGTTTTTATCAGTCTTAACTTTTCTTGCATGATAGCAACACCCCACATATCACCGCTTCGTTAGCCCCATACTATTTACGTTTCGTGTCTATGTAATCAAAGATGAATCAAAATCATGTCAGATATAAACATTAAAATACAAATTGTGAATACTACATCTGTTCCTGGGTTCTCAACAAACCACAAATGTTAAACCAAAGATTAAAAACCTTCTAAGTGTCATGTGAAAAAGTCTATATGGTTCAAATGTGAGTGTCATAGATCAACAAGTTCAGAGAAAACAAATTTAACGAGATCTTTATTTTTCACTCACTCACTCACACAAGGGAAGATCCAAAATCGTCTACTTTAAACTAAGTAACTAACCAACACATACAAGCCCCATTTAAAACTATTCAGCTTTGCAGGTCTTCTTGTTATGTCCTAGTCCCTTGCACTTGCTACACTGTAGCTGACGTTTTATCATATCCAACGGCTCAACACGCTTCATCTTCGGTCTTCCCGGTGTCCTCCTCGTAGGCGGAGGAGTCACGGCAACCAAACCCTCCACCGGCTCCTCCAGCATCATCCTATCCATATTCGGCACAGGTTGAATCGACTCTGCATACATCAACCTATGGCTCTCAACCGTTAAGTATCTAGAGCAATACTCATAAGGGCTTTTCTCAATACACATGATCACAGCAACTGCATGGCTGCAAGGTAACCCGGTAAGCCGCCAGAGCTTGCAGTCACAGTCACACTGGTCTATATCAACTATGTTGGAAGAGTCTCCTCCATTAACCTGGAATAAGCTACCTTCTGGTGGCGAAACCTGAAGTGTCTGTGCAAGTCCTATCTCTTTCTGAAGCTTCTCTTCATTAGACGGTGTTAGAGTTGTGACCCAGTCCCTGGACTGTACCTGACGGGTGTAGATAGATTGCATCATCTTTGCCCTAAACTCATCAATCATTTGAGTAATGGGAAACTCATGTGCTTCAGAGACCCAGTTATAGAAGTCTTGCCCAAAGGTTGAGTACATCTGGTTATATCTCTCTCCTTGGAACAACGCGTTTGCCCAATTATGTGGTTCACTTTCCATAACCCAGGTATAAGCATCAGGAGATATATTCTTTATACTCTCCAAGGCACTGTAGTATCCCTCTGGTGTTGTTGCATACGCCACAGAGTAGAAGTCATTGAGCATATACCGTCTTGCTTCATGAGAAAACTGCCCTTTCAAGTCAGTGTTCATCTTTTCAGCAAGCTGGCGTAGACAATAGGCATGGTGTGCGTCTTCAAAGACCTGAGGTATTGCATTCTTCAGACCGTTCTGGAAATCCGCAACGAATGTGATTCTCCGGGACTCAGACAAGGCGGATTTAAGCTGTTCTAGAAACCAAAGCCAGTTCTCTTCTGTCTCTGCATCCACAATGGCAAAGGCTACTGGGAATACGCCATCCTCGGCGTCAGAAGCTGTTGCTATAAGCATAACCCCTTGGTATTTTGAGTTTAGGATGGCGTTGTCAAGGAAAAGAAGAGGCCGTGAGCCTTGTTTAAACCCAGATATTGAAGCATAGAACGATATGAAAAGACGGTGGAAGCTAGAATCTTCTTTAGTCATGAAAGTGGCAATACTTCCAGGATTTGTCTCCTTGATCTTCTCACAAAGTAAAGGAAGTTGACTATACGCTTCTTTATAAGAGCCTTGAAGCTGCTCTCTAGCAACCTCTTTAGCCCTCCATGCCTGTGAGTAATTCAACTGAATACCATACTCTCTCTTTATATCCTCAGCAATATCTTTAGGCTTGTAGTCCGGAAAGGCTTTCAGCTTCTCTTTTAAAATGGTTCTCACCCATCCTCTAGTCGCACGGTAACCAGGTTTGATGACTGCCCTCTCACACGTGTGCCTCGGGTTCATTTTCTTGATACATATCAACTGAGTCGTAGACAGCCTCGCTGCAGTGATACGCCACGGACAACCCTGAGCTTTGCACTTGACAGAGACTCTATGGCTGTCGTTTTTCTTGTACTTGTAAGCAAACCCGTGAGCCACAGAGTATTTGTGCAACGCATCTCGAAACTCAATAAAGCTGTTAAACCGTTGATCAACACCGGTGATAACGTTTTCCCACTGCTGTATCGCCGTGTGATGTTTCTGATCAACCAAAACAAAGTTGCACGGTAAAGGACTTTCATCAGGCATGGCCAAATCAATCTGAAAATCATTTGTCATATCCTCATCAACAACATCGTCCCCTGCAGCAGGTACAACCCCTTCTGATGCGGTAGTCCTACTTGACCTGTAAAATCAATCCACACATTAGTTACACATCACATGTTAGCGAGACAAAACGACAAACAGACATGATAGCTTCAATTAACTTGAAGATAAACGAGCAATTCTAACTATGACTAGTTCAGTGGACTAAAGATACTAATCTAAAACTTCTAGAACGTTGGAACCTTCTGATGCAGTTGTTCTACTTGACCTGTACTATTAATTCACACATTAGTAACGCATCACACGTTAGCTAGCGACTAAACGAACAATTCAAACAATGATCAGCTCAGTGAACCAAATACAAGTTCTACACTAACCTAAAACTTCTTTAAAGTTGTACCAATGAAACCAGGGGACTATAAGACAAAGCAAAAAGAAACATGCATGTACCTACTAGCTGGCATGTTAGAGACATTAACCGCAGCAGCTTCTTGAGGCATGACGAAAACCTCAACAGTCCCTGCATCAGAAGAGAACTTAACCATGCGCATGAAATCTTTATCCTTAGAGATAGTAATAAGAGTCTTCTTGTTTCCAGGGAGAAAGTACTTAAGAGACATAGTCTCCACACCAAACCCGAAATACTCAGCCAACTCTGTCTTGAAATCACTCATTGAAGTGTTCTGATCAATGTCTATAGCAAAGGCATCTCCACTACCGGAATAAGATAAAGATCCATCGTCTTTGTTGGTTAGAAACTCTCCTCCTGAACGACATATAGCTATCACTTTGTTGGTAGCCATTACCACAGAACACACCTGTAAGAAAAAATCAAACCAGAGAAATTGTAAAGTTATGGTTTTTAATTTTCTAATTCAGTGTGAAGCTGAAACATCAGAAAATTACAAACCCTAATTTGTAAAACAACGAATCCGAAATTGAGCAATAGATAATGATTCATACAGAATCAAGGTAAAATCTTAGGGTTTGAAAACATGACACTAGTGTACCGTTGATTACGTCAGCCTAAGACAGCACGATCGCGAATTGGGTTCTCGTTTCAGGGGAAAAAAGAATCGAAATTTGCAGAGCCCTTTTCTCCGGCAGACGAGAGAGAGAGAAACGATCACGTGCGGCTCTAGGAGAGAAGGGAGACGTAAAACGCAGCGTTTTACAGACGTTATATTGAACCTAGGAAACAAAATTAGTCGTTTAGCGTCTGTATTTATACGATTTGTGAACTTGTTTTACTTTTGTAAACACTGTCGGAAGTATCTTCGGTTCTGTAATAATATATTTGTTCTCATATGGTAATCAAAAGGCCCGCAATAAGGCCCAAATCCATTATCCAGTAACGCGAGAGAGAGATTGAAACGTTCACTTGCGGCCCTAGAAAAGGGAGACGTCAAACGAAGCGCGACGTTACAGAGAACCTAGGAACAAAATCAGCGTTTTGCGTCTGTATTTTGTACGATTTAGGAAGTTTCTTTACTTTTTAACTGTCGTGGTAAGTTCGGTTCTGTATGTAATAATAAAAAGAGTTTGTTCTATTATTTAAAAAAACCTGATCAATCAAAAGGTCCATAATAAGGCTCAAGCACACTAATTGAAACGCACCGTTTTACAGGTTTTCCTTCCTTAGTCCAAATCTTTCAGATTACACACAGAAACAGAGGAAGAAGAAAAAGAAGATGAGTTGCGCTACACCAGCGCTTCCTCCTTCACTCTTTACTAATGGGTCACTCTCATCTCCTCAGAATATCTCTGTAAGTTCCACAATAACAATCTCTTTCTCTCAACTTTAGTCTTCTCTGCTGGCTTAGAAATGCTCAAGAAAGTCTTTTTAATGACATAATCTGAACTTGTGTTTTGCAGAAAACTGACTTGAACAGTTGTGTAAAGGTCAGTGATCCTGGTTCCTTTAAATGGCGCCTTGTGATAGCTTACGATGGCACCAAATTTTCAGGTTCGTCTTTCAGAACTATAGAATAGTTGTCACTTCTTAGTTATATGAAATGAATAGTCGTAATCCCTGAGAGTGTGGCTCTTACGAGTGGTGAAAATCGTATATATATATAATTGCCTCACAGACTCTACGTGAGAGATTTCGTTGCTTTTCTACAAATTTTACTTGAATCTGTGTGAGAAAGGGAGGAGAAGAGGATTGTTTGTCTCACTCAAGTCACTAAACTCTTTAGTAATGTTTCAGAGAACGTTACTGATAGCTCTAGAATCCATTATCGTTGTTGTGTAGTTAAAGCATATCAATGCATGATCTAACCAGCTTGAATGTTACAGTTTTGGAACCTTCACTTTGGATGCATAATATTGTTTGTCTAAATCGAACTGAAACCAAGCGTTATTGGTTTCAGGTTGGCAATATCAGGAGTCACCACCAACGATCCAATCACTGTTAGAAAAAGCCTTAACTCAGATAACAAAGCTAGAAAGAAAAGAGCTTCACCTAGTTGGAGCTGGTAGAACTGATGCAGGAGTTCACGCTTGGGGTCAGGTTCGACTTAAAAACTCCCCAAATCTCTCTGGAAACTTTTTTAAGATTCATCTGTTTTCTCTTTCTTGCAGGTAGCTCATTTTGTCACTCCTTTTAATTACACTAGCTTGGACAGCATTCACGCCGCTTTAAACGGTCTTCTTCCTCAAGACATCCGTGTCAGAGAGGTTAGTGCAGCGCTTCCTGAGTTTCACGCTCGGTTCTCTTGCCGGAGCAAAGTTTACCGCTACCAGATATACAGTGACACTTTCATGGACCCGTTCCAGCGTCATTTCGCTTACCACACTGCTTATAAACTGAATGCTTTTAAAATGCGTGAAGCTGCACAACATTTTGTGGGGAAACATGATTTCTCTGCGTTTGCTAACGCTACAAAGGAAGATGGAGTTCCTGATCCTTTGAAAACTATATCTCGTTTTGATATCATTGAAATGGTAAAAGATTCATCAGTTCTTAGGGTAAGGTTGCTCAGGCTTTGACCTTGTTTGTGTGTTTTTGGTGTTTAGGGATCTCTTCTACAGCTTGAAGTTGAAGGTTCAGGGTTTATGTACAGACAAGTCAGAAACATGGTTAAGTCTATAGTCTCTCTCTTACTCATACGATCAGATATTTTTTTTTATGTCTGCTAACTCATTCCATGTTTGCAGGTAGCTTTGCTGATTCAGGTTGGAAAAGAAGCATTGGATTCAGACATTGTCCCAATGATACTTGAAACCAAAGACAGGAGAGAGCTTGCAAAGTATTCATTGCCTGCGCCACCTCATGGTCTTTGTCTTGTCTCTGTTAAGTATAAGGAAGATCATTTACAGCTTCCACCAGATTGTCCTTTAACTAGTTTTGGTAGACATCACACTATAACAAAATGTAAACTTCCCTTCTATTAAAAGAACTCTTATGTTTAGCATATGGTTTATTGAAAGAAGAAGAAAAGAACATGGTCTCTTTCTGTTTTGGATGCTTTAATCAAACTTTTTTTTTTTGAAATATATTATATTAAATATTTTTGGATTTTTGGTTTTCAAATACATTGATATGTGGAGATAGGAGTACAAGGAAAACAAATAGAAAAATAAACCAAAGTCATTCAGTTAGTTAAGTTTTTTATTTTTTTGAACATTAGTTAGTTAAGTTTTTTTCTTAATTGAACATTAATTAGTCAAGTTACTGAAAACTAGATAGCTCAACACTTCAACAAACAGATCACATGATATAGAATTCGGTAGCTATAACAAACAGATTGTTATAAGTTTCAGAAAGCTGAAATAACCAGAGCTGGTTTTGAAACCGCTAAAAGAAAATAAAAGTGTCTGGTCCTAAATATAAGTAAATATAGCTAAGATAAGTTTGATCATACAAAATTCCAAATATGACCGAGTCGAGCAGATCAAATTATATTTATATCGCTTCACTTAGTCCCTCTCCTTCTTCCTGTTCTCCTTGTTCTTCATGACCATTCCCGTTTGCCTGTAGTGTGTTTTTAGCAGCTTCTTCTTCTTCACTTTGAAGTGTAGCTTCAACTTCGTTACCAAGCTCTTCGGTTACATCAACATCTTGATCATTTACATCTTGATTGATGTCATTGTCTTCACCAATGATCTCTCCTTCTTGATCACTGTCTATTTTTGTATCTGCCTCTTTATCATTGTTCTCAATTATTGGTGCATTAGGAGGGGCAGAGATAATGACACTTGGTTGATTGTTCATCCGTTGCCAATACCGTTGCGCCCTATATGCCGAAACATGCTGAGGCATATGCACATATACCAATAAAAACCATTCAAAGTGTTAACAGAAAAAGCCTATAAAACAAAAATAAAAGCAGACTTATTATGGAACAGAAGTACTAACCATGGCGGTGGAGTAAGAATAGCATGGAACGTGGTGCATGTAAAGAGGTTGTCCATAATATGGAACCCTAGACATTACAAAACAAAAGAAAAAAAAAACAATTTAGATTAGTAAATTCATTGTGGTAAAAAAAGAGCATAGAATGATTAGGTTAATTTTAAGTAAATCTATAAAAAAAAACTTACCAGTTGGGCGGAGGAAAATATTGATATGTTGGATACTGAGAAGCTAGCTGATATTGATGCGGCGTCACCTGATTTAATAAACCTGCAGTTTTAGGGTTTATTAAGATCATAAGCTGTGTTGTGGGAAGTTATATTGCATAGCAAAATAAAATATGTAACTAAGAGATCAAACCGTTCTGATATTGATGCGATGGCCCCGCCTGATGTGGTAAAGCTACATATTTTTCAGATTAAGAGAAGATTAAGTTGGGAGAACTGAAAAAAGGTAGCTATAAAAAAAGTTTGATAAAGTGTAGAGATTAAACCGTTTTGGTTAGACTGGTTAGTGTTATTCTTTGCACCTATGTAAGCCATCTTGACATCGGCTTGTCTTCCATCAATAAGTTGCGACGATAGTTCACAAGCTCTATTGGCAGATTCAGGATCCCTAAAAACAACCTGCCGTAACAAAAATTCAGAAAATATGTCTAGCAAATAGTAATTAAATCTATTTGTAATATAAAACCCAATTATGAATAAAAACAATCGTTTGTCTTAACTGATCATAAATCAAACAAAAGGATCGTCTCATATTTACCAAAAAATATGTGATAATCACGATTCACAAGATACAAAACTAATCGTTAATTTATTTTATAGTTTTACAATAATTAACTACAGTACACAAGAAACAAATATTATATTATATATGCATGGAATTGAAATAAAGAAGAAGTACTTACAAAGCCATAGCCTTTTGATCTTAATTTTCCTCCTGGGAGACTTCCGCTGACAACATTAGCATCAATAACTTCTCCATATTGTTCGAAAAATCTTCTCAAATCATCGGTTGTTGTTCTCCAAGCTAAACCTCCAACAAAGATCTTCGTGTCTTTAAAATTATTATTGTTCTGGTTTGGTTGAGACATGATAAGGGTAATATCTTTCAAACCAAAGCTTTGCTTGTAGGAAATCAAAGAGGTAAAGAGACAAGCAAGAGCAGGGTTTTAGAATGGCAAACGTTTTTTTGTTTGTTTGAGGAGAGTGTTTTGGTATGAAATATATAAGTATATGGAATTTTTAATTCCTTTGTGGAAAAGGAAAAAGTAAAAAAAAAAAATGTAAAGTCTCTACATTTATCTTATTTTGATATATATATTTTGTTCAGCTGATATATATCTTTTATTTCTTTTTTTTTTTTTTTTTTTTTTTT